TGTATGTTGGCTTTATGATGATATATCAGAAAAGCAATAACTCGTACGAAGAAGTAACGCAGTAATAAAGTTCTCAACTCTAAGCAGCTTTCGCTTGCATATAACGAGAACATTCTCGTCACGTCTATTGATTTACTGAAATCACTAGTGATCTGTCTTATTCATTTCCTGCGAGGATGAATAAGAAAAAATGACTAGGAAAAAATCTTTAGCCCCAGTATGTGTTTGTGTAGGTGATAGTCATAAATCAATGCAGAATTTTCCAGAACAAAGTTACGAAGTGTTGACACCGATGTGACTGCATTCTTCAAAGGTTTTTATTTTCTCCCGAAAAGATCAAAGATGGCGAATGCTAGGCTTTTTCGAAATGCAGATCTAATGCCACCAAATATTTTTCAAATGCTTAAAAAGCGACCAACAGCACTCAATTATTATGACAACAACGTTACTTTGGAAAGAAATGACTGACACTTGTCGTCATCTCATGACGTGTCATTGCTACCATCGTCGTCGTCAAATTGCTCTCTTCAACTGTCGACCTTTTGTCCAGCTTGTACATGGTAAACAGTTCTACAGTGTTAACCTTTTATTTTCTGCTTGCTATAATTTTTCACGGCAGGGTATTATGTGAATTACAACCACAGCGATGCTGAACTATTCGCAAAACTTCGACATTAAGCCAGATCGAACTACGATTTCCCTTTCCGGGTGCTCGCGCATTACACACTGCGCCCACGGAGGCCCTTGCTCTGCGATTCTCTCAGCTAGTTTTCTACCTAACGTTGCCATCAACAATATCTGTCAGCGGGATTGATCTGGGGAGCAGAAATCGATTCTACAGTGTAGCTCTTTTCCTCATAGGCAATGTCGGGTTGAAGCTAGGCAGAGCTTGGCCAAATTTATTGCCGATGATCGGGTTTATCACCATCTATAGGCGAATTCATGTTCCTACAATATATATGTATATATGTGGCGTGTATAGTTATTAAGATCTAATTTCTACGAAAAGCGAAATATCTGAGCACTATAACCACAACGTTGCTGAGATATGTGCAAAACTGTGGACCGCAGGTGTCTATGGTGGGGAACGAACACGCTATTGTCCTCTCCGGGGAGTAACGCGTTCGCCACCACACCATGCGGGTCCTTTGTTTCGCCTGTCTCTCAGCTATTTCTATCGATCTTTGCCACATAAAAAGGTATAACATTGTGATTTCAGCTACAGCCGCAGCTTAACTGGGTTCTATGCCGATTTGGGCGCCCCAGATCAATCCCGCTGACTGGTGATTGCTGTGGCAAAGATCGATAGAAATAGCTGAGAGATAGGCGAAACAAAGGACCCGCATGGTGTGGTGGTGAACGCGTTACTCCCCGGAAAGGACAATAGCGCGTTCGTTCCCTACCAGAAACACCTGCGGTCCAGAGTTTTGCAAATACCTCAGCAACGTTGTGGTTGTTGCCAGAATAGTTGCCATTCTTTCATATTATCGTATGTTGCTACAGTAGCCACATTCACTGTTTCTCCTACCGCTTTGAAATCTTGGAGCATACAATTGATTTAATTCCACTTTGAGGAATTTTGCTTGCCGCAAACAGTATTTGTTACACAAACCTCTTTATACAATCGGAACCTTTGTGTGCTATTTCTCTTCGATGCCTTCACGCGTACAATCACACGAAGAGCATAAAGCTGTTTAGGAGAGCCGTCATCTAATCTCGTCATGATGGAGTTGGAAGCGGTGGTAGCCGACGAATGTTTCATGTCAGCCTCACCAGAGCGGTACCACAAGCTTACATACGAAATTTCAAACAACTGCTGAAACAAAGCATCTACTATGACTTCATTTACATTACATTCGCCAGCATAGAGGTTCCCAAACTTTTCATATTGAATGTACACATGCTTCCTCGACGTGTAATTGCAAGTGCCGGTTAAAAGGGAAATCTCCGTGGAAACCATCGACACTATAGAATTCGTCTCAAGAAGAGTTTCCTGAAAACTATAATTAACATGTAACAATGTCTTTGTTTACTGATAAGTTTACATGAGGTTGTCACGAATCTTTATTGCAGCTAACGTTTCGACAGTACCGCCTCTTTAGAGCCACGATGCGGTGATCCAATACGACGACTACGAAGAAACTCAACATCGCAAGAATAAGTGGTTGCTGTGGACACTCGACTCTGAGGAAAGCTATGGAGCCAAGACTTCAGTCATAATAAACACTCGTGCAAGGTTACCAATAAAGCAAGACTGACTATCCATGCCGTAGTTGAATGAAAGTCGGTATTGAACATAAAACAGTTATTCTCCTACCATGACGCTTAAAAACATCTGTTGAGAGGAACCTAACAACCGACTACAAAGAATGTTGTAGAAAAAGCTGTGGCAAAAACAATACAACCGCAAAAAGTGAGTCCTACATGATTCAAACACTTCAGAATTTCCCAGCAAGCATTAGTCACTTACAGAAAATAGTATAGCAAATGCCTCAAAAGTGACAATGACTATCGAGGTTCAAGACGATAAACACAGAGGCAAGTTTACTTAAAATCCTACAGTTAATCAACATATTCTACGATTCGGAACACATAATAATTTACTCCTACAAGAAAGTGAAAACAAGAACAACTAAAAACTTTTCTATCTACCCTAATATCTATCCTAGTAAATAGGAAACACTTCCACATAAATCTATAACTTCAATTATAACAGTTTGCAAGACGATACCACCGTGGCCTAGCAACAGACCAAAGAATTGCAACCACAAATTCTATTTAGACGGCGAGATCGAAGTAGTGCTATCTGTTATTGCCCTAAAAAACTATACGTTGTTCAAATACACCAACATATACGACCCGTCTTTCATAACCACTGTGGGGATCCCAAAACTTCTGGCATTCGATTCGTGAGCACCAACATATAACTCCCATAAAAGAGAAAGAAATTTAGAAAAACAAAAAGCGTTTGCTCAATGGAAGTAGATGTTCTTTTTACTTACTGCCTACTTTTTTTAACTGCAGGGTATGCTTCGAAACATAACTTCTACGATGCTGAGATATCTGGAGAACTCCGAACTGCAGATGTGTGCGGTGGAGAACGAACGCGCTATTACGCTTTCCGTGGGCTAACGGGTTCACTACCATACCATGTGGGTCCTCCGTTGACGGGTGACTGCTGATAGCTCCCAGGATCGACTTTCTCTTAACCTCGGCATTGGAATATGAATGTGTCGTTTTCTTGTTTTACTTCCATAAAAAACACAATACAATACAACGCTAGCTGACGTTTCGGCAGTATCGCCTTCTTCAGAGCCGCTTTTTCGTGACTTCCAATGAGGAAGTTTAGAACAGCTGATTATAGTCGCATGTGGTTGACGACTGCTGATAGCAGTGATCGATAGAATTAACTGAGAGACAGGCGAAACGAAGGACCGCATGGTGTGGTGGTGAACGCGTTGGCCCCCGGAAAGTACAATAGCGCATTCGTTCCCCACCGTAGACACCTGCGGTCCGGAGTTTTGCAAATATTTCAGCAACAGAAGTTATACTTACCTATGCATACCCTACAATTAAAAAGAGTAGGCAGTAAATAAAAGGGTTAACATTGTGATGATAACTACAGCCTCAGCTTAACTGAAACATTGCCGAATTGGGCTCCCCACATCAATACAGCTCAGTTAAAAGCAAGCAATTGAAGTGTTTGTGGTCTTTCACTAAAAAAAATTAGTGCCTTATTGGCTAAAACTTTCTATTTTCTTTTAAAACAAGCCGTTCCTAAAACGGACACGTTACTCTTTACACCCTCATGTTTTCCACCCTTGATGAACGTGCTGTGATAAGGGGGCATAGAACATTGTGCTCGAAGGTAACGCGTCTAAAAAGGTTCCTAAAAGTCCATTTCATAAAAGACTCCTTTTCATATTTTCCAGTAAACAACTTCAAATTTTTCTTCAATGTCAACTTTTTGTTCTCTACTTACTATTTCTTCTTCACGGCAGGGCATGATGTGAAATCACTGTGATGCTGAGATATTTGCAAAAGTTGGTCTCGATGCCAGATCGAACCCTGGGGCACCCATTCCAGCACTCGGAAGTATTTTGCATCCATTTTGATTCGATTTCGGTGTTTTTTATAAGAGTACAATAATCATAACCATTCAAACGAAATAATAATAAAATGTTTGTCAAGTTACCGGTCAGTGAACCATTCGATAAAAGGTCTTTTGTAAATCATTAAGTGTAGAAAACCGCTTTTTTGGTCTCATCCCTTCCATTTTGATCTGCTTTTGATTAGTTATCGAATGAGTATATATAGTGAGGCGAAAAAAAAAACTCTAGGTGCCACTAAACTGAATATGGACACTATAGCGTCCATACGGTCGTTTGGTGCAAACCGCTGTTGATAGAATAGTGTCTATACGTTGTGTAGTGGGTTAAGCAACAAATGAAGCTTGGAATAAATTTTCTGGAATAAAAGTCCTAAAAATTTTGAAATTTGCTAGAAATCTAGGAATTGGCAGGCTTTTAGGAGAAACTATGGCATAGAGCACTAAGGGTATACACACTTTTTATCGAATGCTTCTGATTTTCTAAACCAAAAAAAGGGGTCGAATAAGACAGTTGCTCGTGATTCAGTCCAACAAGAAGCGAAGAAGGCTTGACAAAGTCAAAATTCCACCATAATAGAGTAGGAAAAACCTTTTCCTTCGTGGCAGATTTATGCCCTTTCTAATGATCTTTTCACGGCTATTAGTAAAATCCGCTACGCGGTGAGATATGTTCGCTCAAGTTCAAATATTCACGGAGTATAAAGCACATATAACATACGCGCTCGCAAGCCTATGTAAATGCTTACTACAAATGCCTTCTTCTAGAAATTTCTCGAATGCGCACATGAAAACGTTTTGTTATTTTAAATACTTTTGGATGCTTCTATTAATGAGCTAGGAAAACTTGATATGATATTAAAAATAAGTAAACTAACTCACCCAGAATTTTTTAGATTAAGTTGAGACTCTTCTTACATGTAGCTACAATATGGGGTACGCGTGGAAGGGCTTCCTCCTCTAGATGTTGTGCATATGGCATTGGTATATCGACTCCAGTGACACGAAGAATTGGAGCGTCAAGGTAATCCCATGCTATAGATTCAGTCACCTGAGCACAAATTTCAGCGCCAACTCCTGTAAGATGCTTCTACGTAGATTCTACTACAGAGCAATCCAAAAAGAATAGGTTTTGTGCGACTTTTTACAAAGCGCAATGCATTTCAATTTCAACCGTAACAGATCACTATGACAACAATTTACTTATGTACCAAGTTTTTTTCCTAATAATAATGTCAGACCCACCTCCATATGGCCAACCGTTCTCAACGGTGACCAAGTGATGAGTTTTCATCACCGAATTCTTGATGGTTTCAACATCAAGAGGACGCAAAGTGCGAAGATTGATTACCTGTTGCGAAAAATATTAACATTTCGAATTGCTGTAAAAACAAATAAATCACAAAATATCCAGCAGTACGTAATACCAAAACAATCCGGATAGGAAATTACGAAAAGAGCTGAGATGAACATACTTCAGCAGAAACGCCAAGAGACTCAAGTTCCTTTGCAGCTTCAAGACACAAATCAAGTGCCTTCGAGTAGGAAACGATCGTTATATGATTCCCTTCTCTAAAAAAAATATTCACGCTGAAAAAATATGTATATATAAATAAACCTTTCAATTTTGCACAATCCTATCGGCAACACAAAGTCATCCTTTAGTACTTCGTCAGAAACGGGAAAAGCCTGTCCATATAGTATCTCATTTTCCAGAAATACAACTGAAAATAAGCCAGCTACGATCAGACTAATAAGCACATAATAACGAATAAAAATTGACAGCCATTAGTTTTAAACAAAATGTAACTAGTCCCTCCAACGTAAAAGAAGAGAAAGGTAGCTCCTGATGAAGTCTACTAATTAGAATAAAAACACTTGAACATAAAGACCGTAGCGGAAAAAATACTCTCCCACACTACCGAAACAAAATTATTTCATGGAGTTCACGAATCGCTTTTTTTTCTTCACACTTTTTGCCCAGAATTACAACTCGCACAAAAGCACTTAAGAACGAATGTGATTTGGCCTCGAGAAACAAGATGGTGTCCTTTAATGTTAGAAGGCGTAAAAAGCACAGTCCTTAGCAATCCGACACTCAGCACATTCATTGGTTAAACATAGCGCCGGGTTAACCAAGAACTCTATCTCTAGAAAATTGAGAAAAACTTATCTAGAAAAACTCTCCTTTTCTCTCTCTCTCTCTCATTCAAAACAACGTTAGAGTTACTACGACAAAGGCCGGGGAACGCTCCAGCAAAGCTACCTCAGGATTTCAGGAAGAATACAATTTGAATATCATTTAACGGCTTTCATGAAGAAGATGAAACACTCATATACCATCACTACCCTGACATACGGTACCGAATCTGATAAAAAAGTGCTAATATCAACACATTATGGGACTAGGGATCAAATAATTCGAATAACTATTGTTTATTTTGTTCTATTTTATTTCCACGTCCCGACATCATCTTTATTGCGCGAATCCGAGCACTTCTTGTATTTGACTGACTTCTTCGTACCAATTTTCCAAAACACATTTGGAGGGTGTAGGTTGAACTTGCTCGACGATTTCTGGGTTTTTTCTATCAACATCCTCGAATGGTGAACGAATCGATTTTCCTCGGGATTCCTGGGGTTGTGTTCTCGGATCTTCAACATATTCGTGAGCCCTAGACTTTAAACGGGTGGAGACCATCACGATGCTTTCTCAAGATCATCACCAAACGATGCGACACGAACCCCTGTCTTCATTTAACATATACATAGGTTCTCTTCATGGTATTCAGTAAACACAAGTGAATGTTCTACGACAAAATAACCGGCATTCCTAATTCGCTCGCACGTCCCCCGAATCCATCAGAACTGGAAGCTGCCCATATGGAGTTCGGATTATTCGTGGAGTCGATTTAATTTCGCAACTAGGGAGGAATGAATTCCACTTGATTATATAGCAAAGTGCCATGAGTCCTCAGGAATATGTAAATGGAAGAGAAAGTGTTGTTATTATTGCATTACCAATAGCTGTAAAAAGTATTTATACCTACTCGAATAATTAAATGCGTTGTACTCACAAATGACGAAAAATTGTACTGCACCCAGCCAAATTTCCATCTGAGTGGTAAATCAATGAATGGATAATATTGCCCTCTGGAGTCTCGAATGTACTGTGAAAACCTTCTTAATTTATCACCACTTTCAGCTAATGATTTTGTTTTCCTTCACTGTAGGTCACAATTCCAAACTTAGGAACAACCCATGCCACAACCACCCGTTGAAAACGTTCCGACGTCTTCGTCTCCCTAAAAACCGGTGATCCCAGTCGATGTCCACAGCCCTTCATACTTTCGATACTGTGTCTTTGTTGTGGTATCGAGTCGGATCTTACTCAGCGGAGCATCGCTCGAGTGAGGCAGCCTAACCCAGTGATGCTTTTTTATAAAGGACGGTTGTTGTTCATATGATTGCTCGGTGATAGTAACTTGTTTCTTCGAGCAATCCATCCTACAGAAGTCGGTATCGTTATCAGTTAGCACACAGTGTACCAATATTTCAAAGATGGACTTTCCTTTAACCTCCGCATGACTAATCAACACGTGTTCTTTCACTGATCGGCACTGACGAGGTTGTCTAAACAGACCTTATTCGGCTAGGGTCTCAACGTCTTCGTCTTCCTCAGATCCGATAACTCAAGTCGATGTCCCTTCGCAATCTTGATGATGTTTTTTGAAATACAATTCCAGCAATTTTTTTGATATTCATTCTTCACAACCTGACGTAATAGTATGTCAGCAATGTGAAATGCTGTATATAATTTACGAGATGAAGTAAAAAATTGCGGAATAGCGTGTCCATATCAATAAATATAAGGAAACTTATGAATCAAGATAAAATATACTATTGTAAACAAAACCTATGAAACTTCAGATCAACACAGTAGTTAAAAGATATATCAATTCCCTCCAATTATAAGAAGGAATTAACACTTACTAACTCGAAAGGTAACTCTAATTACAGAGAGTGAGTTCCACACTAGAGAGAGGAAAGAGTTTCCAAATAATGTGAAACAAGGATCTCCAGAAATTCAAATCTCCAGCAGAGAAATTGGTCCAAACACACCTGGATTGTCATCCCTGATGGCAGCTTTCAACAATCCTTTAGCGTCCTCCGAATTATAGGGTGCAATCACCTGAAATTTTTGTCAAGATTTAATTCATGATTAAATAGTACAACGGAGATTGATGCAAGACCAGTGATCGTCACGAGAAAATCATACTAAGCGAACACATGGAAAAAGTTTTTTCTTAAACGGAGAAAGGATAAACACTCTTATAACCCATCAAGAAGAAAACATTCGTTCTGCTCTGCAAGCTTCCAGATGAGCAAGTGGAAAACATACAGATCGGATACCTTCAATCCAGGACAATGTGCGAACCATGCAGAGAAGTCTTGAGAATGTTGGGCGGCGACGCCTGCCGCTGCACCATTAGGACCACGAAATACGATTGGGCATGGTACCTAAAACATATACAAAGCAGTATTTGATCGTTAAACACAAAATCAAAACAGAAAACACAAGAGTAGTTAAAAACAAAAAGAACTGTGCGCTCACGAAATAACGTACCACAATTCGTTTCACACCACTCGTTAAAAAATCTGACAATTGGTTCGAAGTTATGAGTACTTTCTTATTAAATAAAACGAACAGTACCCAGTAGTCGTTTTTTGAAATCTGCCCTATGAATAGCAATACGACGTGCTACATTTTTAATTGGTCTAGCACTCCATCATTTTTAGACTGCAATTTGAGCTGTCCTTAATCAAAAGGTACCATGTATTTATGAAAAGTGCAGCTAAGCTTACAGGAAGCTCTTCGCCACGTAGTTTCGATCAATACTATTAGATGTAATCTGCAATAAAAAATACCTGGACCTCTTCAAAGCAAAGATATATTGTAATTAAACTGATAACCACTGTTTTCGACATTTCAGAATGAACACGCCTTTCCTGCTGACATGTAATAAGTCTTGGCAGCAGAATTAATCATCTGGTCTATAGCCTGCATTGAGAAGTTAAACGTCATAAATTCACAAACTGGACGAAGGCCAGCGAATGCAGCGCCGACGGCAAGTCCTGCAAAATTCTCACGTTTTGTTGACAAGATATAACGTCTCTACTCGAACATTCAAGCAGTCATTCGAACATTCGTCGTACTAAGCGATCAAAATAGTTATGTAAGCCGCCAGTTCACCAGCAACCGAGTTATTCATGAAGAATTGCACCGCTGGTGTCTGCGGTGGGGACCGAACACGCTATTTCCCTTTCCGGGGAGAAGCGCGTTCACCACCACACCACGCGGGTCCTTCGTTTCACCTGTCTCTCAGCTAGTTCTATCGATCTTTTGCCATCAGCAATCACCCGTCAACGGGATTTATCGTTATCGATTGATAGAACTAGCCGAGAAACAGGCGAAACGAAGGACCCGCACGGTGCGGTGGTGAACGCGTTACTCCCCGGAAAGGGTAATAGGACGTTCGTTCCCCACCGCAGACATCTGCGGTCCGGAGTTTTGCAAATATCTCAACATTATACAAGCACTACAGTTCGATAAAGGAGTTGCTCCTGCTCTAGCTCGATGCAAATAACACGGATACGTGGATGGCCCGTCTTCACTGGTTGTGCGGGCCTCAACATAAATTCCATTTTTTTTCGGAATTCTGCTGGTTTAGCCAATGTGTTGTTCCGAAGTCAGCGTGGCCAAAGTCTGCCCCAGGTCGTCACCACCACAAATAGTCGCTGCCCTTGTGAATCAGAGGGAGATTTGCCACCATGCGATTAGGTTGTCACCACGACGGTGCTGGATCCTGGTATTGGTTTGGTTCACTCTTAGCTGAGTTTCCTGATAGAAACGGCAGACTCCTTTTCAGCTTGGGAGACCCCGATGTACATCGCAGCCCGACACCTAGGAACATCTTCCATCCACGATGAGGCGGTAAAAGGAGGTGATGCAAATAAATACGGAATAAAGCTATGGTAGAGTACAGATGAAGGTTGCACTTTCAACGGAATGCTTAGGAATAACACATTCATTGAGATTCTGTTAATAAAAGACATCATTTCAATTATTTAAACAAGCTGATGAAAACTGCTAACTAAGCTTACACCACAGAAATGTCAAACAAACGATAACAACTCAAGGCATTACCTGTAAAACCCATCTCAGTAATCGGCGTGTCTATGATCCTATCATCGCCATACTTTTTCCAGAGTCCTTTCGAAACCTAATGGAGATTTAATTTATTAAAATACAAAGTGGAAGGCTTAAAAACGATCAGAATTTCTACGTAAATAGGGAATCATTGTGACGAAACCTTGTATGCTCCTTCGTACTGCGCAACCTCTTCTCCAATCAAGAAGACGCTGTCGTCTCGTTCGAGCTCCTCATTTAAGGCTTGGTTTAAGGCGTCACGGACAGTTAGGGCTAAAAAATTCGTAAACATAATAAACGGACATCAAATAGGGAACTCTCCAAAAAAAGGGAAACGAGTTTAGCTGAGTAAAAATAGCCGCACTGCAGCTAGTGGAGGAAATTTTTGCAAACCTTGAGCTGACGATAAACTCCTTCGACTGCTACCAAGTAGTTTACCGACAACGAATCCCATACAACACCTAACAGCCATGACTACTATAATTTATTACCTGAAAGCAAGCTCACTTTGAACTATTAAGGAAGAAAAACTTCTGAAGCACTCGACACGAATTAACAAGGCTATTTGTTCCACCATGAAGCCTACAAAAGTGGAAGTTAAATATACACATTAATAACCCTGAACAAAGGAGAAAAAAGAAAAATAGGAACATATTGAACGATGCGGTTACTTGCGTCGAGCTTAAAACAATAGCCGCAATTACGCTTACGTCTCTCTGGTTCGAAAAATTGCGGACCTGCAGCATGTACAGTATTATGGGAGGTAACATTGTGCTCAGTTGAAGGCGGAAGCGATAAGTGACTTGTTTAAATACCTTGACAATCAACAAGGGATCATTTGTTTCTCAATTACATCTAAGGGAATTTTATAGGTAAAATGCTATGCCATTTGATAACAGAGTTCCCAGAAGATAGCTTTGTGACTTGAGGTGTTGCCATGGTGAGAACGCTTCGTGCGCGACCGAGTGAGGCAGAAGTCAAGTCTTGATCGTCACGATGTCGTATAGGGAACTAAGAAGTGAGTTTTACTCTTTTAAAGTCTTCAAGATGGAATACGCACATCTCGGAATGACCCTCTGCTCGAGAACATTTCAAGTTCGGAGTTCAGAAATAACGGCACTTAAGTTATGATAATAGAGAAGCAGAAGGTAAGCGTTACGGATCGAGAGCGGCCTTAGGCTTTCAAACCTATGCAGTGTGTTGTTCAGTTGTAAACATTAAAGTATCACACTTTCTTAAAACCATTTACAATACTAGAGAAATGCAAAACGAAGGACCTGCATGGTGTGGCGGTGAACGTGTTAGCTCCCGGAAAAGGAAATAGCGTGTTCGGTCCCCACCGCAGACACCAGCGGTCCTGAGTTTTGCAAATATCTCGGCATCATTGTGGTTACTTACAATGTTGTTCTGAAGATTTGTGCGAAATGACGAGAGCCATTGGTTATCCTCGTATTCTTTCGCTGGAGAATTTTCGAACACCTAATTTTAAACTGGTAGCTGAACTGTTGGAGTGGATCGTCAAACGGCGAGTGCACTTTATCTTCGTCACTTCTCGTTAAAATTATTATAAAGTAGCAAAATTCATGAGGAGTTCAGTCTTGAATTCATTCAATAAAAGTGTATTTTCTAATGGATTCGTGGACATTGACAGTTCTACTCTTCATTTTTCAGATTTGATCCAAGTGCAGCGATAAGTGCAGAGCAAACCGCTACCGAGCAAGAACGAGTGCTCTTCATCAAGCAGGCCGTCCTCCTCCTCCTGCAAAACACAAGGCTTAAACTGAACCCAAGAAAACTCTATCAGGTAGTCTGTCATGTCCTTAAGCGTTAATGCTACTTTCTTCAGCTTTTTTTATGCTTCTAAGATTTTTCGTAAATATTATGGTAAAAGCTGTTCTGAAAGCTATTAATGCAGTATTAATTATTTAATACATTAATACATCGTGCAGTGTTATTTATCTCAATATGAAGTACTCTGTGCAAATCACTTCTTTCGATCATCGGCAACCCTTGATTGTCTACCATTTCACAACGTTGTCGAAGTTATTCACGTAGTACAACAGTAGGATTCATTTCAAAAGCGCATGCACCTGTATTAAAATAGCGGACGGCGTGCATTCCATACAATCATGTGTGGCGCCAAATGGCCTGTGTTAGCTACGTAGGGCTCATTTTCCTTCTAATTCTTTATTTTGTCACAGAGAACCCTTTACCTAGACTTCTTCTTGTTTTTTTTTTGTCAGCAGATTATCATCGCAGATGCTGTGGCGGGTGTCGGATGGGAAGAGCTTTGTTTTGCATTTAGAAATATACGAAACTTCGCCTCAAACGAGATTATTGACTGGCAGTTCGCTTAAAAGCTGACTGTTATTTAAATTCTAATCGATATAATGAGCATTTATTATATTGGTGAATATAAAATGGATATTTACATCGAATTTTTTTTGTATAAAAAGTACCGAAACAGACACAGCACATCTTAAAAGCCGACTTTCGTTGAACCTCTGTAGGAATACAACCACAACGTTGCTGAGATATTTGCAAAACTCTGGACCGCAGGTGTCTATGGTGGGGAACGAACGCGCTATTATCCTTTCCGGGGAGTAACGCGTTCACCACCACACCATGCGGGTCCTTTGTTTCGCACGTCTCTCAGCTATTTCTATCGATCTTTTTGCCACAGCAATCACCCGTCAGCGGGGTTGATCTGGGGAGCGCAAATCGGCATAGAACCCAGTTAAGCTATGGCTGTAGTTGAAATATCTCAGCAACGTTGTGGTTGTATTTCGCTTAATAACCTGCCATGAAAATTATAGAAGGCAGAAAACAAAACGTTAAACTCTGTAGGAATAGTCAATAGTTTTCAAATGATTGAACTGACACGAAGTTGGTATAAAGAACACATAAACCGCAGTTTGCAATCAATGTCGACACCACCAAATGTTGAAGGTGCTTATAGAACTAACCATAGTAACATATAGTAGAAAGTAGCACATGTGCCATTCATACCTGTAGAACGACAGAGCAAAGCCTCTTTTACAACCTTACCGTGTTCGCAACTGTTAACTCTTTATTTACTGCTTACTACAATTCTTCACGGCAGAGTTTTATGTGAAATGCAACCCAAATGATGCTGAGGTATTTGCAAAAGTTCGCACCGCTGGTGTCTGCGGTGGCACCAAACACGCTATTATCCTCTCCGGGGTCTAACGTGTTCACCACCGCACCATGCGGGTCCTTCGTTTCGCCTGTATCTCTGCTAGTTTTTCTATTTGCCAGTGCCTCCGGTAAGGGTAATAGCGCGTTCGTTCCCCACCGCAGACATCTGCGGTCCAGAGGTTTGCAAATACCTCAGCATCATTTGGGTTGTATTTCACATAATACTCTACCGTAAAAAATTGTAGTAAGCAGTAAATAAGGAGTTAACAGTGTAGTACGTCGCTCTGCAGAAAAAGAAACCTCTTCGTTTCAGTTTTTTATTGCCATTTTTGACCATAACCCCTTTCAGAATGTCAAAAAATATTTCAAAAATAGGATGAAAATTTATTCATTTATAATGGGATAGCTCCCAAATTTCTAGACTTTGTCAATGGACACTGTCTATAGCACTCATAGTGAAAGCCCGTTTATGTAAGGTTGCTAGCAACCAAGTCTTTTTCAATTCTTGTGAAGCACTGTTCGCCATCGAACAGTTCAAACGGAGAATGGTGAATTGCAGATTTTTTAAACATAATCACTAAATTGCTTCGGGTGTTATTTCGTGAAGAGACCAAATGACCTGTTCAAGTCGTGAGCTTTTCTATAGGCGGACGGATATGCGGTGCAAGAACTTCTTCCAGCTATGAAACTTCTATACGAAGCTGAAAAACGAACTGACGCTGACGATTTGCACACACACTGGAATGCCGTGAAAAGTCGGCTGAATGCCAAGGTATCAAATATTTTGCTTTGACTTGTAGCGCTATTCCTGCTTGGTATCGTATTATCCATATTTTTTTTAATTGGTCAAAAATATATGTGTGCGAAAAGTTCTTGAGGTTTCACCAAAAAAAGTTCAAGCTCAAAGAAAATAACATGTTTTAATTTCTTTAGAAGTTATCCTTATTTATACTGAAAGCAAGTAATACTTACAAGTTGTTGAAAAGGTGACCTTTTAGATGCAAGAAATCCGCATTGCCAGACAACTGTCAACGCAGTTGCCACAGACGGGCGCCGCATTGCATGAGCTGCTTGGAAAGGAACTTTATTACAGAGTCCGTTGCTGATCATAAAATAAAAAGAGGATGAAGCTTTCGGCGCTCATCAGTTCCTGAGGGATGCGCAATGCAATTAAGTATCGTTGGAGGTGATCGGATGCATATCTGGACCTTACAATGACTCGCAATGCCCTACCGATATATCGAGCCACTGCTGCTATCCTCCCAGACAAGTCTGGTATCAATTTGCCGACGCCGGAGGGATGAAAGGATTGGTGAGCCATGAGCGCGGAGATCAATTCCATGTGTGTGTCGCAGTGGCACCTCCAGCCACTGCGCCACACGAGCCATAGAGGAGAAGTTCGTTGCTAATCATAGAGAAGAAGAAGGACAAAACAAACAAACATCACTATTTTCTGGTGTTCCCAATAGCCTTTAAGTTGCTTATAATTGCAAAGTGTGCTCAACAAACGACTTGCGCAGTTTCATTGAAAGCAAGAATTTGCAAGGTTGTAGGTGATCTTCTTGTTCATCTTTAACAAAACATGGCAGCTACGTAAATGAAGTAAAGCGGTTTACCCACCTAGTATTTATACCTACCTAGTATTTATCAGTTTATTGAGAAGTGGGAAGGCTAGTCGATCCTGTTTGAAATCGCGGCGGATCATCAACTGTTGTAAATTTTCATTATCTGAACTCCATCCTAGGTTATGTCTATTGTTCGCTGGGCGTTCGACGTCCAGTTCGTCATTCACTTCCTTGGCTAATTTTAAAATTAAGTGGTGGTAGTAGAGAGAGTGGGTATGTAGAGCAGTGATTAAAGGTTGTCCAATGATACATATAGCGTCTTTAGCCTGATTCAGCGCGTAGGACTCACCAAGCGCTCCATCCTTTGAGACTGTCTTGGAGGATAAGAGCACCGAGTTGGTAGATCCGTTGGCCACTGCTGCTCACCCTATAGACCAGATATGCGTACAATCATCTCTGTGATGGTCGATGCAGTCGAAGGCATGGCGCAATTAGGGATTGATTAACACCAAAAACTTTATCATTTATATATGTTAAGATTATTAGAAGCGAAAAAATTTTGCAGCAGCAACGTAATCGTGCCACTTCTCGGACGATTCCTCTTACCGAGGCGGAGAAAACTGTACAGAATTCTATTGAAGCAATCGCCGCTGACACTGAAGCCATTACGGTGATTGGTGAAATCTTTGCAATCTAAATTTTTGAGAAATTGAGGACTACTTGGAAATTTAAAGCTTTGATTCCGATTTAAATATCAGTCGTAAGGTTCAGAACGAGTTGAGTAATGTGTCAAGCGACGAAGCGGCACTTGATGAGAAAATTGAACGAAAGACGAGAGAATACGAACAAATGCAGAAGCGCTACGTTAAGTTGCAAGTGAGACACGTCTTACTTGTTTGAGGAAAAGCAAGGATAGAAAGAAATAGAAGGAAATCTCTTCTGAGTTTCAGTCATTTCGTCCGCAGTACATGGATGAGTATGAGAGGTTGGAATCGAAGCTCAAGGAACTCTATGAGGTTTTCAACTAGCGATTGCAGTATAGATGACTGGATTTCACTATTTCAAAGTCATGCAACTTGCTTATTTTCTATCATTTAGGTTTATGTGATAAAATTTCGGAATTTGACCTATTTGCAACAACTGCAGCTTGACATTGAGAGGTCCGACAGGCAGAAACAGGTACGTACGCGGCTTCTTTTTCGAAAGCACATTTGGAACCACAATGTCAAAAATATCCAACTTATCGCAAGTGGTGGACAGAATTCGACGTCTCATACCGTAGTACGCAGACGTTCGGGTATGAAGACAGCTACCAAGGCGAAGAAAATCAAGTGGTTCGGGACGCCATGCCTTGAGCGAAAACTGGCACTTTGAGCAGCGGTGTTCTACGAGATCTAAAACGCACCAGGATGAACACTAATTTGGTGCTCATATTTCTCCGCAATTACCATATACTTGCTATGGATTAGAGATTTATTTCAGTGAACACATAGCCATTTCCTGAGCCACAACCAAGATTCTCATCGCTCTACCTCTGCAAATTAAAGACTTATATAGAGGGATGAAAAAGGCTGATTTGATACATCGATAGGCCACCGCAGGTCTTTTTTAAGCTAAGTATGCATCCGCTAATTAGGGATTGGTAGGCATTGGACGCATTATCCTTGATGCCCTGAACGAAAGATAACTCAGCGGGCACTGTCTGTCAACTCTGATGCAATGCAAGGAAAAATAAAGAGCACTGACATATGCTTTGGTTGTTAATTAATGAGAATTGACTAATTAGAAATTTTAGATTTTCTTGTGGTGGGCAATAGAGTAGGAATTATGAATACACAGGATTGATTTCCAACTTACGATTTCGACGTGGCTCTGCAAAATTTTGTAGCACTTTCACTCTAAATATTCTAGTTCCTAATAAGGGCGCTGGAAGCGAAGTGAGAGAGTTAGTGTTTAATGCGAACGTGACCTTTGTTTAGCTCTCTGCGGTTTATCTAAGTCTCTCATGCTCCGGGGGTCAGGGAATTGCTACCAAGCTTATCAACGAAGTGCTGACTCGCATCCGCAAAGACTGTAGACCGCTTCTAAGAATACACCTGGAAGCACCTCAGCATGACTGCTCCATTATTTCGTAAAGAAGTACCTCGACCAGCATTGACCGACATTCATTCAGAAGGTAAAAAAGATTTTATAGCTGAGCCCACACGCAATGATCTTCCCAGATGATGGATGAGAGGTAAACAATCAAATAACAAAACGGTTAAGATACGCTCACATGCAATGACGGGTTATATAACGAAAAGGTAACTCTTGATGTGCGCGGAAAGCACAGTTGATAGAGATGTCGTAGAATAAATGAGCGGAATACGTGGTTGGAACTATAAGGCACTAACTACGATAGCAGTAATTACAGGAGGAATCCGAACGAATGATGCGGCAAGTTGTGGAGAAGATGCGAATGGAGCTTAACACACAGTAAGAATGAAATGATAAATTTACGTATTGTGTATTCCATGTTTTTTTACTGTCTTATTGTTGAGGCATAAATAAAAAGCTTTATGAAATGCTGAGATATTTGCAAAACTCCGGACCGCAGGTGCATGCAGTGGGGAACGAACACGCGCTGTTGCCCTTACCGGGGAGCAGCGCACTTCACCACCACACCATCCGGGTCGCTGCTCCCAGGTAAGGACAACAGCACGTGTTCGTTCCCCACTGCATACACCTGCGGTCCGGAGTTTTGCAAATATCTCAGCATTTCATTCGAGTTATATTTCGCAACATACCCTGCCATTAAGAAGAAAAAGGCAGTAAATAAAAGGGTTAAGATTGTGATTAAAAAGTTTTAATCATGTTTTGATTGTTTATTGCCTATTATTATTTTATTTATTATTTATTTTATTTATTATTTGACTAATATTTTTTCCTATTTTGCTTACTGCCGATTATTTTTTCGCACGCGTCGTACAGTGCTCCGAGGAGCCCTACAAAACACTTGGGATCGATCCCCGAGCCCCAAGCTAACCAAGACTTCCATCTCTCCATGGTTGACAAATTGCTCCAAGACTTGTCTGGGAGCATAGCAGCACTGGCTCGGTACATCAGTAGGCCACCGCGAGTCATTGTAAAGGCAAGATATGCATTCAATCACCTTCAATGATACTTTGTGAGTAGAATGCATGGCACATTCCTCTAGGATAGACCAACGCCGAGAGTTTTATCCTTCTTTTTTCCCTATTTTTTTTTTCACGGCAGGTTGTGATGTGAAATACAACCACTATGAAGCCGAGATATTTGCAAAACTAGGACCCCATTCCAGATTCGAACCGACGACTACCCTTTCTCGGCAGTTCACGTGTTACCCAGTGCACCACAGAAGTCTTTGCTTCGTCTTTATCTCAGCTACTATTTTATTTTACTAGAAGCAATGAAGTTACCTTTGTCAGTTTGGTTCTAATTCCTATATGATTTTTGCATATGTTTACCTTATCTTTCGATCTCGACAAAATTTTGACTGCAAGCTTTTCTAAGCACCTAACTGATATGCAAACTCTTAAAAGTAACCGGTGAGAGGAAAACGAAAGAAGCTATGTAGTCGCAACCATACTGAAATGATCTAGATCGCCCATAATGTGGCGAAAATACATAATGACTGATATTTCCGATTCTATCGCCACAGTTGAATACTTCATCTATGTTAGAATTTCTCGCATTTGTTGCTTGGTTGTATGGTCTTCAGCCGTTCAGCGTAGAATCCTTAGATTTACTTAGTCCCGAGGCCTGCCAAGATGGAAATTTCACTTTTTCATATGTTGAAATTATTTAAATTATCCATTCTTGATACCCACGTTTGATATGCCCATCACTGAATCACTTGTATTCCAATTTTTTCATCCAGCAACTTATACTGGTAGCAGTAAACTTAATTTATCCCAACGCCGCATCATGTTCTTACAAGCGACACGAAATGTCTCACATTTTTAGTGCATTTCTACTTTTCTTACTTTGTGGTGACGTTAAGCAAGTATGAGATCCTCTGTGGAATTCGAGAGGGTCTAAGTTCACTTCCAACCCACCTTCCAGATGGAAATCCCGAATTCATTCTTAATTTGGGAGACCCTGTTGAGAACGGACCTTCCAGTTTTCCTTCAATTACGGCACCCAGAAACAACCAACCACAGTGAGGTTGTAAACCCTTAGAGAAGGTCGAGAGTGTAAGCGGTCAGGCATTGGTCATTTCATTAGCGAAGCGCCATGCACTTGACTCTATTAAGCATCACGGAAGAGAATGAATACGTTTTTCCTAATGAACAACTGATAAATTATTTCTCGACAGAGCTAAGCGATTTCAACGTGACATTTGAAATTGGTACTGCAAAAATTGTGGGAATTCGTAATTGCAATTCCTTTATCATTTCCATCTAGCAAAATATTAGAATAAGAAACAGAAAAAGTAGCCGTAGGAGCAGTGATCTTTTAAAAGAAACCTGAAAATAATCGGTGAACTAAGAGCGTGGAGTGAGAGTGAGACGAGACAATTTGGAATGCTTTCAGAGATGATCCAGCTGAAGATGAAGTGCCACCTATAAGCCAGGCTAGGCGGAACTGTAAGTTTAGAATAATCATTAGAAATGTTTGCTACTTTAACACACTAATTAAATGAACCATACGAAGCTGCATCTTCGAAAAGGAAAAAAATTAAACATGAAGAGGAGGTTGGATAATCAGCGGTTTAGTCATCAGCGACTCGAGCAGTTATCAGTAGTCCCTTGTTCGCATCCGTCACGCGTTCTTGCTTTCCAGCGAGCTTCGTTTCCTCGAAAGCAGAGGCAATCTACAGTTTTTATGCCATAGCCTTTATTTTATTAGTCTAAGCAGAAAGACACCTATCGACAACTCATCGAGCTCTTAGTGAGGATTTCGTATATTTACGGGTTGCATTTAGTCACTGTCGTGAGTGATCTTTCATTCTCCTTGCGCAGCGACCAGGTTTCTTACTAGTACGTTCAGGCAGGAGGTATCGTAGAGTCGAAAAGTGGGCACGGAACCAGGTGTTCCTTGTTCTTCTCACCATAGTCTTGAAGCTCTTAGGAGCTCCCCAAACCGCTAGCTTCTTCGTGTTCAACTGTGGAGTCATTCATCATGTTGATCTTCCGACCTGTGTAGACATATCAGGAGAATTCAGAGGTATTCATTCCGTTGAGCATGAATGGGGTATATGTAACCAATCCGTTCCTCATGAACATTGGTTTTGTGGGAAATGTTGAAAGATACATGGGTGGGCCACCGCGAGTCGTTGTAAAGGCCAAATATACATTCGGTCACCTTCAACAATACACAATGAAGCCGAATACATGGCGAATTCCTCTGGGATTGATCAACGTTGAGATCTTTATCCTTTTATGTTTTATGTTGAAGCAATCTTTCCACAGACGTCGTTAAAGTTAACTAAAAATCGTCCAGCCTGGCTAATGCTTGGTATAATGAGAAGGTCAGCAAAATAAAGATAAGAGGAGGGGAAAATTTGTTTTTCGAGAAATGTAGGTCCACTGAAATGGATCAAACATGTTCTATTCATAAGTTGCTGGTATTATGGTGATTTATGGATGGTATTGAAAAGTGTAAACATAAAGATCGTTTAATTGCCGTCTATCGATTTTCATTCCCATATCGTCCTATTCCAATGTTCGCATAATGTTCTGTACCGTGGTAGTAAATAATTTTGGCTAAATGGTATTGCTTTGCCTAACTGCCTTTTAACATCGGTATTAATATCGTTAGTGCATGGTGATATTGTGGTTGCGAAGTTTCTATATACCTCATGACGAATCTTGATGTACTGAGTGAGGGCCCTTTGACTATCTAGGTGCAATTGGCGAAATTTCGGAGGGTTTCTGAATGCTCTTCCCGCCTCTATAGTTTTGGTAATGGCTGCTGCTTTTGTCTCTATGATCCTCTTTTGCCGTCGGTCTGCACTCTTCTTGAAGTTCGGTTGTGAGTTAGCGGTTGCCTGTAGCTCGAACGACTCCACGTTAGCGTACCAGCTTGAGGGTTTCTGGAGACAGACGCCTCTTGGAGACTTTCGAACTCTCAGCTTTCGTTGAAGCTGACATGAAGATGTTCAATAACACGATCGTATTCCTCGTCGATGTTGCCAAGAACGGCGCCTTTCCAACAGCCGACTAGTGAATCGAATAAATCCCAGTTTATGGTGGTTTTTTGGGACCACGTTTTTTGAATTTATCGGCTTTCTCTACTTCCCACTAGAAGTGAAATCTTGCATGAAGCATGCAGTGGTCCGATTTCATGTAGAATTTTTGAACAACATGAGCATCGGTTAGGCAAAACCATCGATTTACTATGATGTGGTCTCTTTCGTTGCGGTACTTTCCATTGGGAGACTCTCACTCTCATATTCATCTTCCTTTATTACGTATGAGTCCAGCAGAGAACGTGGCTATTGAAGAGAACCGAGTAGCAATCGCCGATGATTTTCTCCACTTCCTTTTTGGAAACTGTAAAAATTCCAATGATGCTGAGATATTTGCAAAACTCCAGACCGCAGGTGTGTGCGGTGGGGAACGAACGCGCTCTATTGTCCTTTCCGGGGAGTAGCGCGTTCACCACCACACCACGCGGGTCCTTCGTTTCGCCTGTCTCTCAGCTAGTTCTATCGATCTTTTGCCATCAGCAATCACCCGTCAGCGGGATCGATTTGGGGAGCCCATATTGTAAAAATTCCGTCTGCGCATTTGAGTGCAATCATTTTAGTTTTATAACTGGTGCAGCTTGGGTGGCCTTTGCGAATGCTTTTCTCAGCCTCTGCAGCCTCTGAAGTGTTTCTGAAGACAGACATCTCTTGGTAACTTTCGAACTCTCAGCTTTCATAGCGCTTACGTGGAAATGTTGAACTTCCGGATTGTATTCCTCGCCGATATTATCAACAACGGCATCTTTCCAATAGCCAATTCATCGACTGAATAAATTCCAGTTTATGGTGATTTCAGGACTTCTTTTTCAAAATTAGGGACCTTCACTTTTTTTGCAAGAAACGAACTCTTGCACGAAAGAGGCGATGATTTGATTCCGCGTTGAATTTTGAAGCAACGATGACATCGGTAAGGCAAGGCCTTCGATTTACTATGATCCGGTCTATTTGGTTATGGTACTCTCCATTGGGAGATTCCCACGTCCTATGGTGACAGTTATGCTTCTGGAAATGTTAGTTACCAAGAATGCTCATGGTTGTCTTGATAAACTTGGAGAGACGTTTACAATGCTCGTTCCATTCTAATCCGTGGATCCCGATGTAACGTTCTTCAGTCGTTCTTTTGGATCCAAACTCAGCGTTAAAATTTTCAATGGTGATCTTAGAGAATGTATTTTCCTCTCCGTAGAACTTCTCTATGTCTATATGAACTGAAGTACCAGCGATAAACAGACAGATGTTGTTTAGCATCGAGGAAAGTTTTTGGAAATATGACCGGAGCCGGAATGTCTGACGATGAAGATGAAGAAAATGATCCTCAAGCACCTGATGCCTTGACGGACAGTGAAGAAGAGCGGGCGAAAACGGTTAGCTGGTTTTGATTTTGATGGTCCCGAACTTCAATGTAGACTATCGCGTTTTTTGCAGGCTCTGGAGGACGACCAAGAAAAGCATGACCTTAGTAGCGGTGATGATTTTTGAGTAATGTTATCTACATCACTTTCCTTGCAGTTTATGCACTAATAAATTTTCTAATACATTTCTCAACTAGATTTAGACCAGCAAAGGCTGCAGATCAATATTGCGGCTTTTGCAAAAGCTCCGGAACGCAGGTGTATGCGGTGGGGAACGAACGCGCGCTGTTGTCCTTACCGGGGAGCAGCGCACATCACCACCACACCATCCGGATCCTTCGCTTTGCCTGTCTCTCAGCTAGTGCTATCGATCTTTTTGCCATCAGCAATCACCCGTCAATGAGATTGATCTGGGGAGCCCAAATCGGCATTGAACTCACTTAAGCTGAGGCTTAGTTATAATCACAATATAACTCGTATGAAGTGCTGAGATATTTGCAAAACTGAAGTGCGCTGCTCCCCGGTAAGGACAACAGCGCGTGTTCGTTCCCCACTGCATACACCTGTGGTTCGGAGTTTTGCAAATATCTCAGCACTTCATACGAGTTATATTTCACAACATACCCTGCCATTAAGAAGAAAAAGGCAGTAAATAAAAAGAGTTAAGATTATAATCACAATCTTAACCCTTTTATTTACTGCCTTGCTGAGAACTAGCTGAGAGACAGGCAAAGCGAGGGACCCGGATGGTGTGGTGGTGGAGTGCACTGCTCGCCGGTAAAGACAACAGCGCGTGTTCGTTCCCCACCGCATACACCTGCGGCCCGGAGTTTTGCAAATATCTCAGCATTATATACGAGTTATATTTCGTAGCATATCCTGCCATTAAAAAGAAAAAGGCAGTAAATAAATGGGTTAAGATTGCGGCTCTTGTTTGAAAAAGTTGCCGAGTTTGCCTTCACAAGTCTATATGCTGCTTCTTTCTTCCCATTTTTTTTAATTTTATATGACCCGCCTTCACGTCTACTATGCGAATGTCAGCACTTCTCACATTCGATTCGTTTCCTCACATCCACTGTCCATGAAGATCTTCCAACTTTGCATGTGGCTTCGGTTGCGGTTTGAGGATTTTCATTTTATCGTGAACGTCGTAGAATAGTGGTCGAGTTCTCCCTGGAGTCCTGGGATAACCGGGCTGTAGCGTTTTCTTCCATATAAGTTTGTAACGACACTGCTTGTTGTCTGATTGCATTTTCCTTTATACAAGCCTTTGGCTAACGTCAATAGGTTTGAGAGAGCACGGTTCGTGGCTTAGCCACGTCAGGAAGCAGGATAATCCTTTTTTGTTGAGCACGTTGGACAATGTCTTTAAAGCAATAAAGATATTTACTGAGACGAAGCATTTACATTAGCTTTAGACAACCAAAGAATTCTGTCATAAAGGTTGACAGTGGGATAACTCGAAAACAATTTGAAATCCATGAAACGAAGCACTAAAAATGACACGAACATGGAGTTTGTATAAGTTTCAACATTTTTGGAGTGAAAAGTCGAAAACCCCACTCCATTAACGTGCTATTACTTACTTGTGAACCCGTTTGCTTATTGATAACCTTTCTTGTCAGTACTAATTGTCAACTGCAGTGTCCCGCCAATGTTATTGAGTAAACTATGCTATGGCGGATCGCGAAAAGCTTCCCGTTGACATCTTCTTGTCAAAGAAACCGAAAATGGATAACGTTAAACTAAAAATGTGAGGCTGTTTTTATGTTAGTCTTTTAGTTAATGCCTACTATGATTTTTTACAGCAGAGTGTGATGTCAAATACAACCACTATGATGTTAAGATACTTACAAAACTTGGTCGACAGGCCAGATTCGAACTCGTGGCTACCCTTTCCAGAGGCTCACGTGTTATCCACTGCTTGACAAAGGCTCTTGCCTTGCATGTCTCTCAGCCAACTTTTTACTTAAAGGTACCATCAACAATCATCCGCCAACCTTTTAGTTGTTTTCATATTTCGGGATGAGGGATCGATATTGTAGACCGCGTTGCTCTGGTGCACGATGTGAACGAATGGAGATTTTACTGATTCACGTCTGAGTTACTCGGTAATTAACGGAATTACACTACTCGAAGCTTGCTCTATTATTCTATTATATTAATTGTTACCATCATTAGAATCTAATAAGTCTGGCTTCTTCCTTTCCGCCAACTGAAAGAGTCGTGCCAATAGCAGCCGACTCGGTAGTATGGTGAGAAAACGGGTGCGTCTAAGTGCGATAATGTATACAACTTCAGTGATAAACATTAACATTGAAGACAATTTGGAAATGTTTTGAAATTCATGATGTGCAACATTAGGAATGTGAGTTCTTTTCCTGCAGCAACCAGAATTTGCTTCAAAACATCCTGAGAGAACCTCATCTACTGAACTAACAAGAAGCAGTGTTTCTCGAAATCGATGTTTTTGCAAAGTGAAAAAGAGAGAGAATAAGAGGGAGGATGTGAAAAAGAGAGAAAAAAGAGTGAGAGAAATTCTCTGAAAAGTCAATCGAGAATGAGCACATTCAGGGAAGAATGATTAAAATGATGCGCGCGGTGCACTTTGATAAAACTAGGCTGGAAAAGCTAAAATGTGGAAGGAACGGTAGAAATATATTGAACAGGTATCAGAAAGGGATATAGTGTGTTCAACGCCCTGAGAATAGATGGTAAGCTATGAGGCCGAAGAAACTTCGAGAATTTCGTACAGTTAAAATGATGGACATGAAGGTGAACACCACAGAAAGTAAGATGTGTTCATGGAAGATGGAGGTTTTGCCTAACCGATGCCGCTGTTGTCCCAAAATTCTACACGGGATCAGGAGACCACCGCCTCCTTCGCGCAAGATTACATTTCTCGCAGAAAGGAGAAAAACTCAATAAATTCAAAAACCGAAGTCCCAAGACCACCATAAACTGGGACTCATTCAATTCACTAGTCGGCTGTTGTGAAGATGCCGTTGTCGATAACATCGACGAAGAATACGATCGGCTCATTCAACATCTTTATATTGGCGCTGTGAAAGCTGAGAGTTCTAAAGTCCCCAGGTCCAAGAAACGTCTGTCTCCAGAAACACTCGAGCTGATACGCCAGCGTGGAATCGCACGAGCTGCGTGCAACCGCAAACTAACGTCCGAACTTGCAAAACAATGCAGACAAGCGACAAAAGAAGATCTTAAAGAAAGAAAAGCAGCAGTGCTGGTCGAAGCTGGAGAGGCTGGGAAAAGCATTCGCAAAGCCAACCGAAGCGTGGCCATCTGTAAGGGCAAGATGATTGCACTCCGACGCCCAAACGGAGCAGTTACAGCGTCCAGAAAGGCAATGGAGAATTCACGAATACTACTCAGATCTCTTCGATAGCCACGTCCACCTTGCGTCATATGAAATAAAGGAGGGTGGATATGTTGTACCACCGGTTCTTCCTTCCGAAATCCGACATGCTATTTCGTTGGTGAAAAGTCGAACAACACCAGATCTGGATAGAATAAGATCTGAACACCCGGCGAACCATCCGCCCATCCTCGTAATCACACTGGCTTGGCTGTTCACGTTAATTGCTTGAATGCAGTGTCCCTACTCAGTGGACCAGCAGGACCGTGCTATTGTTCAAGAGTGACCTTCACGATATCTTCAACTACCGCCCGATTTTCATGAGCTGTACAAAAATTTCACGACCAAGATATCACCGTTCTATAATGGTATTAACATCGACTTCAAAAGAGGAGTTAGGCAAGGCAATACCATCTCGACAGAATTATTTACCGCCACCCTCGAAAACGTCATGCGAACATTGGAATGGGATAACATGGGTGTGGAAATTGACGGTCGGCAATTACACCATCTTTGGCTTGCTGTTGATATCGCTCTTACATCACCAAATGTCGGCCAAGCAGAAAGAATGCTTTCCGACTTTGATAAAGCCTGTGGGAAGATCGGACTTCGGCTAAATCTCACAAAAACAATGTTCATGAAGAACGGTTCGGTTTCGTATGCCCCATCCATGCTGAATGGAACGAATATCGTGCTCCATTTATGTCTATCTAGGTCGGGAAATCAATATGATAGACGACTTAGCTCCAGAGCTGAGCAGAAGAAAACGAGCAGCTTGGGGAGTTTTTAAGAGCATCGAGAATGTAGTGAAGAGAACAATGTACACTCGATTTTGTGCCCACCTTTTCGTCGACTCAACGGTACATCCTGCCCTAACGTATGCGTCAGTAACCTGGTCGCTGCGTAAGCATGATGAAAGATTACCCTGCTCTATTGAACGCGCAGTCGAAAGGACGATGCTAGGGGTATTCCGTGTCAAGAAAGGGAAAGGATCCGAAGCTCCGACCTGCGTCAACGATCAGAAATCAAAGATGCCGTTCTGTACGCCAAACGGTCGAAGATAAGGTGGGCCGGACACGTAATGCGTATGAATGACAACCGATGAACAAGAGCCATGAAACCTAGAAATGTCCTTCTTGAAATGTCAAACGTACTGTGGGGAAAACCACCGACCCGATAATCAGAGTTCTCCATGAAAAACCTAGAAGAAGGACATGACGCTCAACGAGTCCCTAGAGCGAAAAGAACCCACTGGGCTACTTTGCAAGCGATGGGGAAAAATGGAAGATTTCTTGGTGCGCGTTCGACTCATTCGACGATCAATGGGACTACAGGTGATACAGATGATGCAATCAGCAAGAAATAAGCGACTTAGAACGTCGTTCGCTTTTGCTTCCTACTACCTTCACCCTAATCTTCGGTCTACAGAATCCGGGATAAGAAAAAGTCTCGAAGAACAAGCGTTCACGATGAGGAGCATTTTTCATCCGCTCTTCCTTGGCAACCTGTGTGCTCGGTACCGTTACAGTGACCATCCCATAACCAATGAATATGACGACCTTTTAGGCGAGCCACTGTAAACTCACGGTCGTGAAAAAAACGCAACTTCAAAGCAACTTGTACAGTGATGGATGAGAACCCTTCGCACGTTATTCATACAATTGCTTTTCAAATACTAAATACAAAACATTAAGTATTAAACAGTAGTAGGAGCCTTATGCCTCTAAAATTTCATCAAACGAGCACAAGGTCAGATTTAAGGTTCTTTTCGCAAGCATTGAATAGACGTAGTTGGTCGATTTCTAATGAAGTACAGAGGTATGGTTTACAAACGATTTCGAGAAAGAATGCGCCTCTTTGGATGACAAACTCTCTACAGTCTTTCATAACATCGAACGTTTACAGGATACCAACCTTTGAATTGCATTTCGACAAAAGAAGCAAATCCTATAGCGGTTGCTTGGATACTGATCGGTTCACTGTTTAGTTATCTATTACATGCGATCGCTCAACGGATTCATGCTCATTCAGACTTAGGCCAAAGCTTGGGCAACCCTACAAATGCAAGACAACAGCGGAGCGAATCATCTGTAGTAATTTCAATAAATTGCAAACTATCCATATATAAATCCGAAGAATTATGACCAGGCATGTATTCCTATGTTTTCGCTTGTTTGACAACAATAGAGAACTGAGTTGCATTTGCTTTGCCCTTACTCCCAACATGGTACAAAATACTTGAACGCATTTTTGTTGTACAAATGTGAATTAAAGACATTCCTATCATTTGGTAAAGGAGAAAGAATAAAGCGTCCGTCATTAATCAGTCCCTGGGAGATGTGTTGTACATTCGCTTTCATCAAACATCGTAAATGTGACTGAACGCTTATCTGGCCTGCACAATGATTTGTGTGGCCTGCCAATGAACCAGCTCAGTGCTGCTATCTCTCAGATAAGTCGATATCAATCTTCCGACACTAGAGGAAGGAGACATCTCCGGGATGCCAAAAACCACGTGCGATACTGCTCTACACGCTGCACGTGCTTTCACATGTTCCATGAGTAATATGAACTTATTTGCTAATAAACTTCGTTGGTGAATGATTTCTAAGACTACATTTACCACGTATTTTCAGATTTCACTTAGTGTCTAGTTTTTATTGGGACACAACACACCTTCTTATGAATAACCAGAAGAATGGAGGCGTGCATTGCATGGCGTCATGTTCACTTCGAGGAAAAACCCTACACTCCTGTATACTTATGATAATATCAACTGCGACACTGCTGGCTCCATGATAGACTAAATGCAATAATGCTGAACCCAAGGCTTCCTCAACGCGGAATGCTACAAACTACGTTGCTTTCTCAAAACCATGAGAAAAATATGGCTAATGAATACTCTGAAAGCGATAAGTTGCAAACTCGTTGCCACCTAATTTTTGGCATCTTCTTCAGGGCAGTGTCCCTTAAGGATTTCCTTCCTTAAGTGGATCTTTCCTGCAAAAGCCTCAAGCAAATGGTTCCAGCCGTTAATCGCAGTGAAACCTTCCGACCAGGTTTTAAAACGATCAAACGAACAGACCATGGTCACCGGTGGGCTTATTTGCCTACTCGCTTTGTAATAATTCTTTTCAATCGACTTTTTTTCGATATTTATTGCTCTGCGTATTCACTTGTTCCTGGTATTAATACTGATTTCGAAAAAAATTGCTGTCCTGGCATAGTGAGGTTTCTCACTCTAAGTTAGTTATTTCAAACGTGTGTCTTCACTTCATCTTGCCTAAACACTGAGTTTTTATGAGAAGTTTTATAAGGTTTATAAGGAGAGAAACAAACTCACAGCAAGGAAGACTTGCTAATTAAGAAAACGAAGTGTAATAGTTTCTCACTTAAGCTAAGGGCATGTAGGTGTAAACACATTTTTTCGTTCTTAACTGCTATGCCATTTATAGTTCTCATTTTTACCAATTTTAAAAGGTTGTATATTGAAGGGCAATGCTTTAATGAGATTTTCGGCCCATATTCTCCTCAAGATCGCGTCAGGGCCGATTCTAGCAATAATTCTTTGAAGATGACTGCTCTAAGGATTCGTGCTTGATTAGGTTCTGGTTACTTCACAGTCTTCATAAGGTGATACACCAAGAAGAACGCAGTCGGTAGTGAATTACCTGCAAAGAACGATCACTAAATAGAAAGGGAATTATGAGCGAAATATTCTTCTTGCCATGTCGACATTTAAATAGATTTTCTAGTCGTAGACAAGGAAAGTTTTTAATAGTAGAAAAGGTGCACACGTAGGTCTGTCTGTCTACGATTTGAAGCTAATTCAGAATACGTCAAACGTCAGAAAGCATCGGCTAAAGCATAGGAATATTCGCGCAGATACTTAGGAGCTCACGGCTTTGGAATTGTGCTACCTACGCACGGAATACAACCAAGCGAAATGCACCTGCTAGAGTGCTTTTTTATCACCTTTCTCTTTCACTTTTCTTGAATTGCATTATTCATCAATTGCATAAGCAATCACCTGTACACCTGTTATCACCGAGCATCTGGAGCAGGCACCGGCAAGGCCTCTGCTCTCGCTGGTACACTTCTCAGTCATTTGCAGGTCTACTCTGGATCGATGCGTTAGATACAATCCATATACATGCAGGCACACCGCACATGTGTGAATATAATTACACGTATACGGACGACATAAGAAATCAATCCTGTTGACCACTAAAACAGTGAAGTCCTGCCTAAAATCTATCCAGGACTTGTCATGTGGACTCAGAAAGACGAGAACGAGGTTCCCGCATTTTTGAGAGACGTCACCGGTTTGGAATAAATAGACAAACGAAGGAAAGCACCTTCATTCTTAGTGTTTGTTCTCTTTCGCTTCCAACCATTCTCTTTATCTGGAGAATGAAGTGCGAAATTGTCATAAATCAGTTACTTAGGGAAAACTGATTGTTCTAGACATAGGTAATACTTGGATATTATGGAGAGAATGCCGTGTAATATTTCTCGACTTCCTCTGATAGTCCGTTGTAATGACTTCGTCAGGTCTCCAAGTCTTGGTGGATAACTCAGTCTGAAAGCGACAACGTGCAAATAACAAGAAGGAATTCTGAACAAATACCTTAGATGAGCTTTTAAATAACCTCTAGTTCTGCTTTAAGAGAGACACTAGTTGTACTTAAAAAGAGCTGTTCTAAGATCGCATCTGCACTGTAATGGAATAAAAAGATGATATGAATATGGCTTCTAACCCAAAACAACCACTGCGGTCTTAAATGACTTTACAGTTGCTCTGTTTGTTCGTGTTTCTCATTCGAGAAATGTCCATGTTGAAATGTGACAGGACCCAGCTTGGACGACTTGCTGAACTTCAGTACCGCTGTCTAGAATCGATCAGAGTTTCGAAGGAGGAGATAGACGCCCGTCACTCATTCCTTTAATTAACGCTGGGTGGATGCGATATTGCCGGCTGGTGTCCGTGCGTGAATTGGATACGTTTATGACGCCTAGCAGCAACGAACCTCCATGGCAAACGCAATCACAAAATTGAAAACATACCATTGATCTGGAAGCAGCCCGGTTTCAGATCACAGCTGAAACACTTTTGCTATGGTACCTACGTTCTGTTGCGAGCGATGCATTTATGTTGTCGTCGTCTCCCGACGTTTTTCGATCCTGTAGAAATCTACCTCGACAGTTGAAACTAATATATCTTACCGTGAGAATAACTACCTACTAGATATACGCATTTCAATTTTATGACTTTCTTCTACTTTTTAAACATTTTTCCCGTTTTTTGTTATTTCTGCATAAAATAGCCGCATTAAGGAATTGTGCAGAGCCAAAGCATTCCAAAAACCGAACGTGCTTAGCAAAGATTTATTTTGAGTGATCTAGAGAGTAGTATATTCGCAGACGCACTTTAGTAAGATCGTTCGCACTGAGATAAGTTGAGGAAAGAGCATTTTTCACTTTACCCCATTATCACAAACTTGCAGGGCACGGCGAGTTCGCTGACACGAAACCATATTTAAGAAGTGAAATGACTAAATAGATAAGGTAAAGGACAAGAAGAGGAAAAGAAACAAAAGATAAGGACAGGACCTAAGGCTACTCCATTTATGCGGTGCTCTAGTGGTGCAACGTATTCGACTTAACGCAACTACCAAGGCGATTCACCTGGCGAGGAACGCCTGTTCCGGCCATTCGCTTCGAGTCCACGTCGTTCTGAAGAAGGTGATGGTTCCGAAACATAGATAAGACAAAAAATTTTTTCTTTGATGCCATTTGAAAAAGAATTTTTCTTAACAGACTTTCATAGATGTATGGTTTTATAAGGAATCAGAATTACACCACGTCTCTGTTTAAAACTTTTTTGATATTATTACGCTGGCGGATACGACCTGCACCACCAGACAATTAGCCACTACATAGAGTTGAAAAAGCGCTCTGTCATACTCGGCACGAATTTCTCAATAATTTTGTAATTTTGTAGGAATACAATCCTGAGAGACACAATATTGACTACTATTATCTACTATATAGGTAGTTTTTCGATGCACAGAACGTCTGGAAATTGAGAACTGAGAGCTAGTCAACGTCGTTTTGGTGCTATACTTGATTATCAATGGTCTTATACTGCAGATAATTCTTTTGCGGGCGGAAACGACCTTAATTGGAGAGTTTTCTAGGTGTGCACGGAACTCGTCATAATCGAGGTGTGTGCCAGTTGGGTAGAATTTGTAAGAAATGTTTTTTGAATCTTCCACTCATGTTTGTGAATCATCTTCACAGTGTTTGGGCTAGGGTTTCCATGTAGAAAGCGATTTTTATCGGATTTGGACCACCCAGTTTGAATCTCGTTGTTACTTTCGTAGGTGTGAGTTAACTTCAACAGTGCAAAAAAGGGTAGTAGCAGTTCCATCGGTTATAAGTGATCATATGGCACAGTCTACTTAAAGGTAGCAGAATGGAACCTTCTTTTGTTGGAAGTGTGATAGGTTCCCGTTCACGAGTGAAGTGTATCGGTTTTCGGTTTTCTTGGTGGTTGCTAAACTTCAATGGCTAAGATGACCCTGAGTCAGACCGGAGACCATGTGGATTACTAAAATATTTTAGTACAATTCAATGCAATAGCCCCTCCCCAACCCTACGTTTATAAACTTCACGACCACTGTATTTCCCTGTTCAATCTAACTTGACTTTCCAAGTCTCTGCAGTTTTGAAGTTCTGAACCCGTGGTTCTCTCTGACTCTTCTGCGAAGGGTAGGGCACAGCTCATTAACAGGTCTCAGCAATTCTTTGCTGGGGTCAAAGGGTCCATTGTATCTATTGCGTCAATGATTACACTAGCTTGCTAGCACATTTTTGTCAGAATGGTCCAAATAAAGACGTGATGCTACTTTTTTCTGCATCAAATTGGCCCGGATAAGGATACTACGTGGTTTTTTTCTACTGTGTTTTCTATACGTGCCATTGCAGTTTCGTTATTGTTAATGTAATATGAGTTGCCGTAGAGCATCGCTGTGAAGGATTTTGTTCGTAGCGTTAAAACCGTTGATTCTAGTTTTGCCATCGTCTTTCGTTTTATTGTTGGCTGTAGGTTAAACCAAATTAGGGCGTGAACAAGATTTTTATTTGCTGCCTAATATTTTTTCACAATATGGTATTATGTGAAATAAAACCACAATGAGAAAGAAAAAAGAGAACGGGAAATCCTCAGTAGTGATGTGGCTAACAGGCGAGAGGCCAGTAAAGATGGTCGAGGGTTTGAATCTGGATTGTAACCTGGGTTTGCAAGTATATCAACATCATTGTGGTGGATAAAATCGTTTTCCCCACTTTTAAAAACGTACTGGGAATCATTTGTAATTGGAGAACAGATATGACAAATATTTGGTGCTTATAGTAAGGAAGTAGATGGAGAGTGTTTTCCGTTGTCAGATGCTTGAAACCAATTAGAGCAATGTTCGTCACTTCCACACTGGTCTTCCCCGGGGAAGATGTGTGCCGACGTTCTCACTTAGTCTTGAGCGACTGCCGAAATGAAATATGCAACCCGAGGGAAGCCGATCAACAATCGCACCCGTTCCGGCGTACTGCGACTAGTCACAAGTTTTTTCAACAAGTTCCAAGATCAACTGTGAAGAAAAAACATGCAATTTCACTGTTATCCAGCAAGCTTGAGGTGGGCGCTAATATGAAATTACTGGACCAGCACTCTGATTGAAATTGCTGTATTAAAAAGGTATGAAATTTATCCTTGTTATTTGTGCCCTTTATTAGTAACCAGCAGCTTCGTAGAAAACTTTGCGCACCACATGGGATGGAATACGGTAATAAATCGAATAGAAAGATATGAATGTGACCTGCAAGCAAAAAGTATTATTTGGTGTCACCTTAGAGGTCCAAAGTTTTAAAAGAATAGCCAGCGGTTTAAACGAATCACCACTGATTACTTTGAATATTAATATATTTTTAACCTTTTATTTTATAATATTTAAAGACATGTTGGTTATTTCATTACCGATGTTAAATGACGATCGGTTTGGAAATTAATATATTTATTTATACGGTCTTCTAAAGTGATTTTCTTGAACTGACGCGAGGTTGCTATAGGTCTTTGTTGTCTTTGTTGTTATGTTGTTGGTCGATGACTGACAATTCGGCGTTTTCGCCTTCCTCAGAGCCTGGACGTATTTTATGTGACAGTCTTATATTCGGTGAAATATTTGTAGTATTAGTGACGATCAAACTTTCGAATAAGCGCCATATTGATCAAAAAGGCCTTTGAATATTACTGTGCCGCTCTAAATTTCACCAACAAAGCTCCTTTGCTTGAGGTGTAAAGACTTCTTTTATCAACAAACAAATAGATGAAGGCCAGGCAAGCAAACAGCTTACAACCTTTCTGTGTAATCATCGGTCTTACCGAATGAAGTAGCAGTGAGATAACTCTACGAATCCGCCACAAATTTATAATATTAGTTTCTGAGCACAAATACACACAAATCATAGTGGTTTTAGCACAGAGTAAACTCACCAACATACATTATTCCATTTTCAAATTGCAGAAGTTTACTACAACGAACTGATACATCGCTGTTCTCTGCAAGTGCTCCTATAGGCCAAATGTTCACATAATCATTCCAGCGATGCCTAGCGGGGCGATTCGTATAGATCAACGCAGAACATCTTTTTAATAGAAAACATTAACAAATACTGGTAATGAAAGCCCCTTCCGTCACGAAGTTAGGCATTTTCACGTGCTCAGGAAAGATCTATGCTTTTCTGCTTATTTCCTCTGCATCTTGACCCTCCTGGATCCCGTGCTGCCTCATCAGTTGCCACCTGCCACCTAATCTCCATGCTGGTCAACTTGCCCCGCCTCCATCCGATTCATGTCTAAATAAGAGACGGCTGGCTGCATCCTCTGTCTTCCGACCATTCACTAGAAGGATGGCTCTGTTAAGTTTATTCCTAGCACAATTTTCCGGCGTTCTTGGACAAACACCTGGATGCTATTCTTGTATCCCTCATTTAAACGACATCTACTGGGTTGCCGTTTCCAAACCACCATGTCTGCATCCGGGTCAGCCAATATTCGAATGGTCAACAGGGATGAGTTGTTCACAATTACATGACGTGCATTCTGACCAAATTTCCGTAGATGAGTCGGGTTTGATATACGCTAAACAAAAATTCTGCTTCTATTCCACTTTTGTATTTATCAACTACTCTATCGAGTGTGGGGAGAAACGACTCACGGGTCGATTCAAACTTGGTCACCCTGTGTTTTCGAAGCAAAGGCGATTCAAACGCTGGCTAAGGAGGAGAAATCCCGACCCAACCACCATTCATTTCCAGCAAGCCAGGTAATTATGAGAAATGGCCACACTGAAAATATTTCAGTAAACAGTAATCTATTTTTTATGAATTTACTGTTTGTGCAGCTACATCAAACAACTTGCTGAGTCTGTACCTCCTGGAACTCTTGTGGAGACAGTGAATGCCACTCATGCTGCCGACCAGCCAATCTACTACTCACTGGCTGTCCCTCAGGATTCAAGATCTCAGAATATCTTCACTCTCGATACGGTAATATCAAGCAACAAAAGGCAACGATAAGCATTCCAGTTGTAAATGCTGGGAGAGTCGATTATATTTAAGACTTAGTGAAATTGCTTAACGACCGCATAGAGTTGAAATCAGTGAAATCTTTACACAAACAAGACCATATGTACAAAGAATGAAGTAATACTGAAATTATAGTAAAGCAATGAGAGAAATTATTCCAGCTCATGTGAATGTTGCTCAGATTTCTGGTGAAATTCGTCTCGCTAAGCCTCTGGATCGTGAAATTCTCGACAAGCATGTGTTGAAGGTGACCGCATACGAGAGACTGGATCCTACGGTGTCTTCCAGTGCCACAGTGATAGTTGATGTACTTGATGTGCAGGACAACAGCCCAGTTTTCGAGAAGGATTCCTATTTTGCCGATATTCGTGAAGATGCACCGGTAGGCCCACTATTTCCAATGACCTTCTTTCACTCTGTGTATTTCGTGATTTTTTTCATGCTGAACACTACCGATCTGTTGAGTCTGAATTGTTACCGGAATATTGAGTCATCACTCTATTCATCATTCACTGTGAATTTTCTTCCAATTGAATTCTCTGCTAGTGAATTTTTGTTGGTTTATTCATAATTGCTACTGGTCCATTAATTCTGTTAATTCCCTTTCGGTGTGGTTTATATTCTGATGTCATGATTCCGATCAATTTCATCCCTTAATTAAAAGAAGCGTTAGGGTTTTTGTTCCTCGACCTACTTTTCATGGCACCTCTTCGTAATTTCATAGTAGGTACTTTTATTTCACATAAGGGTATTTAAAAAAGCGCTCTCTAAGAAGTTCCTTGAGTAGTTACTTAATTGAAGGCTCCAAGCAATATTGAACTTTTTCCATACCATGATTTGAATTCTCCGTTCATTAAGATCTCACTGTTGATAGGATGTATCTCAGACCGGTGACCTCGAAAAAACCCTGACATGCCGAAAGTCTAGAGCAGTGGGCACCGAGCTCCTTCGTGATTTCGACTAGCCGGCGATCGCCTCTCGTCGGGTCGGTGCTGCGTTGTGTGCTGGTCACCCACGTCGCTCATTTAGGCGCTGCCTGCCTTTGAAATGAGCATAATTGTGGTAACATTCTCGTGTAGGAAGTCCGATATGGATGCAATTTTCTGGTCTGCTTAGCCATTACGTTAACTCAACAACCACGAACATTGAAGAGCTGCACTTAACTTACCCTAATCCGATTAGGCAGGTGTATGACAATGACACGTATTGATCACATAGGTGGGCTGTTGTAAATCATTGGGATTTGGATACCAGAAGGTGATAATGTCGTTGTAGTAACGAAATCTTTTCCCAGCCGTCATTTTAACCGTGCGAATAGCTTCCAGCGCATATATCGTTCGAATAGCTTGTACCAACAATTGAAAATTTCGACTCTTTTGTTCCAATAATGCGTTTGCAATTGTAGTTGTCGAATGCTCGACATGGCTGAAAGAAAGCTCAAACCAAGGGCTCGCATGAGTGCGGTGCTGAACGCGTTAGCCCCACGGAAAGGGTAATAACAGATTCGATTCCCACCACTTGCGGTCCGGAATTTTGCAAATACCTCAACATCGTTGTGGTTTTATTTCACATCACACTATGCCATAAAAAAAGAATAGGCAGTAAATAAAAAAGTAACTACTCGACACTTTTTTTAAATATCTGATGTTTCGAACTAAGCTGGACGTAGCTCTGGTCCTCTTTCAGATTTTTTCCCTTGTGTTCAGTGTGGAAGGCTATCGGCCAATCGGTCAACCATCATCCCTTTTTCGATTTGTCAAGACAGAAATTAGAATAAGAGCAGTACCGATAAAAGAGCCCTTCAGTAGCTTCCACCGTTGTATAGAGATCTTATCGATGACTAGGTGTCGGAATCGTGGAAATACGACGAGATCGACCGGGACTGTGAGCAGGACCGCATCAATGGAGCTCAGCCTCGTCAAATCCTTCACTACGTCAACCGAGTTTACAATGTCATATATCATTTCACGAACTGTTCATACATTGTATAGTCAGAAAGCATTACGCTGTGAGGCTTTTCACTAACAGGCTTTTTTTCAGCTTGACAACCGTAATTTTCACTGCAACGCAAAAAAAGAAACAGCGTCGTTAGAATTTCGATGAGATCTTAAGAGCAGCGCATACATTAGGTATTTATGGCATATTTGCATGACAGAATGACGGTGGCGACATACGCTGATGTCGGTCCCATGAGGAAAGCAGAAATTACTCTCCACGACGAGAAGCTGAAGAGCCTCCAGTTCACATGCCAAATTGACGCCGATCATGTGTCTGATAAAAAATACAGATGCATATTTCACATCAGTCCACGTAACTTGTCACCGCTCTGAATATCGTATATTCGATAGAGGAAATTAACGGACAAGTAGAATGAACATAAACTAAATTCGCTTTAAAGTTAGCGTCGTTGATAAAATTCTAGTCATGTGGAAATTTTATGGCGACTAGTTGCGATTAACTGATGTGTGGATAATTCACAAAAACTTCAATGGGCGCTTATGGAGCAGTAGTCGGAGGCACCTTTCAGCACACATATGGGATCGATCCCCGCGCCCTTGGCACACCAAACCTTCCATCCTCCCGGAGTCGGCAACTTGGTAGCAGACTTCTCTGGGAGGATGGCAGGCCTGGCTCGATATATCGTTAAGCCACCACGACTCATTGTATAGGCCAGTTACGCATTCAATCACCTCCAAACGGTGCTTAATGAATTCGAATGTGTGGCACATCAGTTAGGGATTGATCAACGCCGAAAGCCTCCTTTACTTATTTTGTAAATAATTTAAGATTAAAGTTATGCATATATTTGAAGTGTACAGCTTTTACCTCCGCGTTATCTATATAATTTGTTCTCGGATTTTGAAGCCAACACTTAGTTAAAATTACAAGAAAAAAACCCTCAACTAGGAATTTATTGCCTCGAGGAAGTTCTATGTTGAGTTCTGGCTATATCTGAAGCTTCAGAATGAAATGTTCTTCAATTACTGAATTCGTCTTTAGAAAATTATTTTTTCGTTGCTTGCTTAGTGATTGTAAAACCAGTCCTATATTTCTCTTTCCAGCTGTATTTGTGATGGCTTGACAGCCAACTTCACCGGCTAAATCTGCCTTTGATCTGCCTAGAATTCAAATCCCATTAAAACATTTGAAAAGTAATGGTTCACCGTTCTTCTTTACAATTCTAGTAGAAATGCTTCAACCTGCATCCCACTGTGGTTCACGGTGTCACAACGGTCTGTTTGCTAATCGATGGTGTTGTAGCCAGGTGAGAGTAATTACAAGCCGCAGGAGCACTCAACGCCAGCACATATGCGCATTTTCCATCCGACGCCACTATATGCACCGCCCAGGAAGCGGAGAACTCGTCCGGAATTTGAAAGCCGACGACTTCTGCAAACGTCATTCCTGAATTTTCTTTGACGGATAGTGGTCGATGTAGTATAAATGATTTCATTTCGAAGGTGAAAAAAAAATGATCCTTCGGTCTTCTTCAAAGTAGTAATGCCTGTAGACATAGGTTAATATAACTGCTTGAAGTGGACGAGCACAAATAAATTCCGAAAGAATAGACTGATGTGTAGGTGAATGTGCATGCGGTTTTCATGAATGCCTCATGCATGTTCTGATATCTCGGAGCATCATAGCACTCGAGAGAAGGGGAAGGTCTGCAACTTCAATTATCGTTATTACCAACCATCAATCATCCACTGAGAACACTGTATCGAATATATGCACGTAGCATCGATAATTAACGCATGTCGGAATATGTACGAGAGAACATCGGATGATACGGAATAAGGCGGAGTCAACTAAGCTTAAAAAGAGGTCTATCGCGTGACCAAAAACAGTTACGACTTGATTGGTTCCACATCTGTGTCCGAGCTATGTTTTCTTGATCGTAGTGGCGGTTGTTCTATCACTACCCGTGGGGTATGACTTCTTTGACTCGGTTCTCTACAAGTCTCTCGATCTCATTTAACTTTCTTTGAACCTGAAAGTTAGGACAACCACGGTAGAAGCAATTTCTCAAAACAATATCAAAAGAAGTTTTAGAATGTTGGAGAGATAGCAATACTATTCATTTACATGAATGCATTAGTTCGCGGTTTGATTTGAGTTGAGCAGACGATTAAGACAAGGAATTAAAGGCAAAAGTTTCTCTTAAGTAGGTTCTCCCAATTTCAGATTGGAACCACTGTGTTATCGGTATTCGCGAGAGACCTTGATGCTGGACAAAATGGGGAAATCGTTTACAGCTTGGGTGAAGGCGAGGGACATGAGCTATTGTCAATCAATACAAAGTCGGGAGTGATTCAAACAGCGGCTTTTCTAGACAGAGAAACTCTCCCATTGATAAGGTAGTCTAAACACATTGTGAACTAATTATTAACCTATTTGAAAGGTTTCTGATCTTCCCGTTTCTAGTTATTCTAGACGTTTCGTAGTGATACATAGCACACAGTTCTTATTCCTCAACCACTAGATATTCCAGGCTCGACGTCATCGCTACCGATCGAGGAGACCCTCCGAGATTGAGCACGGCGCTGATAGAGATTGGCATAACAGATGTGAACGACAATGCCCCAATGTTCGAACAAGTACTGGCCGACTCCCCACTTTGTTCATTGTCTTCTTCTTTCTGTCTAGTTTCCATTCATAGTGACCTGCTGACCTAAGCTTTGATTGTTTTCAACAATGTTTTATTCACGTACTTTATAGACACTAACTGTTTAGGAATTCTACAACATCACTGTTATGGAGAATGTTACCCTACCAACTACAGTAGCATACGTCAGGGCCACAGACAAGGACAATGGGGTCAATGGTAAGTGAACTAAATCTCATTGTTCTTGTGCATTTTGTTCTATCTCTCGGGTAATATACTCGTAAATAACCACAAGAATGCTGAAATATGAGCAAAACCTGGAATCTTAGGTGGAGTTCGAACTCTCGATTACACTTTCCTGGGGTTCACATTTTATCCACTGTACCAGTCGAGGACCTTGCTTTGCCTTCGGGGATAGTTATAGGAGCAATCACCATTCTTATATTTGCTCCCATTCTCAATTCAATTTTTAACAATCTAGAGCTAACAACAGTTAAAAAGCAATCGTAGTTCGAATACCATTTGAAATTCCCATACGCTGTCAAGCTACCTATATTGGGATGAAATTTTGCTTCAGAAAATGACATACCAACTTTCGTTATTTATCTCTGCCAGAAATTCTTGTCCCATATGTGCTAATCGCATTACAGCAGCAACGCTTTCTCAGTTCTAAGGATATGCGATGAAAACTTAAATACCTTATAGCTCAGCTACTGCCTGAACAGCTCAGTACAAGCGTGAACAGTCGGGCTTAGAACACATTGTTATTGTATCGTTAAGTAACTATGCACCAACCGAAGTATTTGATCACAGCTGTTAGTTCTGTATTTCGCACTTTCGGGATGAAGACCTCGAGCGTGTTTGTAGTTCTCCCAGGACTGTTCACCGAAATACAAGCCGTTTAGAGTTTGAACAATATGTTTAGGCAAAGTACACTACAGCATTGTTACTACATCTTCTGTTCCGCTCACAATCGACTACTCCACGGGCGAGGTTGTGCTTCGCGAGCGCCTAAGCGTCCGAAGTTCCCCGATAGCCGTCCTGGTGAGGGCGAAAGATGGTGCACAGCCGGCCCTGAGCACTATGGTCACCCTTCTTCTCTACGTCATCGACATCAATGATCACGTCAGCCTGAAATATTTAAACTGCTATCATACTCTCTATTTTCAAACTCTGGTTTAAGAAATTCGTCTTTGCAGGCACCCATGTTCATTGCTTCGCAGAAGAAAATTTTTCTTGAGGAAAACATGGCTGTTGGAGATGAAGCTGGCAGAGTATACGCTATTGATGAAGACTCTGGAGACAACGGAGTCGTCAGGTCAGTTACAAGCGTTTGTGGGTAGTAAAATGTTAAAGAAGAAAGCTTAAACCTTGCTGTATTATCGTTGGGGATTCTTACAGAAGCCATTCAGCACAAAAGTCCTTGTTTGAAGATTGAGAGAAATTAGAGTACTCAGATCTAATTTATTTCTTGTTTTATTTCGAAATTGTTGCTAGACACTTTTTTAGATACTCTCTCAATAGATCTCTTGATTTTTACATCGATCCAGAGTCGGGTGTAATACGAACGGCAACCTCACTTGATCGGGAGAGGACGGCAGAGTATGAACTTAAGGTGAAAACAATGTTGACTCTATAGGACACTATATTCCTTTGACATTTGCCCTAGTTTTTTCTTAAGATTTTAATTTCTTCTGTTATATTATTCATGACTTTTTTAGATTTTACGATATTCTTTCTTGTTTGACATTTTCAGGTCTGCGCGAATGACCTAGGGAGTCCGTCTCTCTTTTCATGCACCCAAATCACTGTTGTTGTAAAAGATGTGAATGATAACGCTCCAAAGTTCTCCCAGCAGGAGTACAACATTAGTCTCTCCGAAGAAACGCCTCGAGGCAGTCAAATCATCACTCTAAAAGCTGACGATGAGGTGATGCTCGGCTCTATTTTGCTCTTTGTTGCAGCCTTCTTCATTGTTATATCAATCAGCCATGCTGTATCACCAATAATCTCATTGACTAATAATCGATTAGCTCAAAGAGCACGAACAAAGTATCCATTGAGCACCAATGGGAAATAGTTATAAACTTTTAGTCAAGCCAGATTTTTAGGCGTAGCACTTATTTTTTAACCACTCATTTTGCTTAATGCTGAGGTACCAATGCATTTCAATACACGAAAAAAGTATTACTGTATGGAATGTGCTATTTCTTCTGTAGTAAAACGAATGATTCGTAGGATGCCGAGCAGAAAATCGTGTATCGAATTGAACAAATCGACAAAGATGTGGTTTCCTTAATTGACCTTGGTGAGCAGGTGAGGAAAGGTTTTGAAATGCAAATTTTCTGATCATTCATCTTATTTACGAAAGGATTTCATCCCTTCAACCGTTTTCTACACTGGTCATTATAAAAGCTGATCACTGCTGATACAGGGTGCACTACTAACAGTATCTGGGAAACTACATAGCAGTGACCACATCATAAAGCTCGAAGTGTCTGCAACCGATCAGGTTAGTCGTTATTTGGGCTAAAACATATGGGCAGCACAAGTTAGATAAGGATATAATAGTAGAAGAAGACGAACTTAAGAGTCTTAGTTAAAAAATCTTGACTATCAAAGTGTGAGAACGACGGAACACACAGTGAACGAATCACAGAATAGGATTTTAGGGTGGCTTGCAAGGCCGTTGTCACGTGAACCTGATTGTAGAGGATGTGAATTCTCCACCGTATTTCACTGAGCAGTTATTTGCGGTACATGTTTTGGAAGACTCTCCCATCGGATTCCACGTCACAACGATAAAAGTAAATTCACTGTTTTTTCGAAAAGCAGCATGAGGTAGTAGTTACAGTATTTATTAGTACGCAATAGCTGACGTTTTTGCAGTTTGGCCTTCTACGGAGCATTGAAAGGTCGCACTGACATGGAATCCATCCAATCAAGCATTTTCATAATTTAAGCAGATAAAATTTAATAAGTAAATGTTCATTCGCATGACAAATAGCTTCTTTTAACACTCACCATTTCAATGATGCCGAGATATTTGCAAAACACCGGACCGCAGGTATCTGCGGTGGGGAACGAACGTGCTATTATCCTTTCCGGGGAGTAACGTGTTCACCACCACACCATGAGGGTCCATTGTTTCGCCTATCTCTCCAGCTAGTTCCATCGATTCGTTCGTTCCCTACCGTATACACCTGCGGTCCGGAGTTTTGCAAATATCTCAGCATCATTGAAGTTATGTTTTGCAATATACCCTGCCATCAAAAAGAGTAGGCAGTAAATAAAACTCACCATTTCGTTCTTTGTGAGCTTTCCAGTTTTTTGGGGGAGACCATCCACATAGTGTATTACATGGACGAAAAATGTACCTGACTCAGGCCAGAGAACCAGGGTGGCATGGCACGACGTCACGCATGGTCATAAGACACTCCTTCTTGTGGTCGTTTTTTGGTTTTTTGAATTACTCCAAAGCGCTCCAAGAGTTTTACGCACGGATGTTTTGAATTCGCGCACGAGGATAGTGACTATTACTTCAAAATCCTCGCCTTTGTGTCCCTGTGTCCTATACACTCAAAATGGAGTACTTGGTTACAATTTGTATTTTCAAATTTTTTATAAGGGTAAAGTTGAGCTTTTCAGAATTTCCGGAATTTATTGGTTCTTAGCCCTGGTCTGCTTGGTTTTTATGCTTTGACTAATCAGATGAGGTGTAAGAGTGATAAATACATGACTGATTTCTGAATCCTTAATTTTTTAATTTCGAAGCTGGTCCCTTTCCAACTCGATTTTTTTCCAACGCCTATTCATGATTTGAACCCATCATTCAGGCGAAAGACTCGGACCGAGGCGTGAATGCTCACCTGACCTATTCGATTGATTCTGACGTTTTCCTTGTTAACAACAAGACAGGACTTGTCACTCTGAAGGAACCGTTAGATCGTGAGATGAAATCGAGTTACCTGGTCACGGTGACCGTCAGCGACGCAGCCGTTCCTCCACTAAACAGCACCATGCACTTGGAAATAATCGTAGACGACGGTATGTAGCTAATACGCTTTCTCTTCCAAATATTTGTTACAGTGGAACAGTTTGTATTGTTCTAAAAGAAGCAGAGGATTTCAAAAACAAGAATTATTTCGGTGCTTCGCATAATATGTTTTACAACACTTTTATTGACATTTGTAATGTTATGTATTAACTCCTGTTAGGAGTTCTAATTCCTGCGATAGGAGTAAAAATGCATGACGGATTGTTTGAAAAATTTCAGAAGCTTCTTATCGCCTTACTCATTCCGTTCTATAAGTCTAAGACAAAGATTCAGTTTCTTTTTATGGAGGGTTTTTTGTACAGATTATAGTCACAGATTTGAAAATTAAATGTAGTGGTCAGAGAACTTTATCTTCGAGTAACTCATGAAGGAGTTCAGTTATACTGAATAATTAGTCGAAACAAAACCTATGCACGTATTCTTTTTTTGATAAGCTTAAACGAGATTGATAAGCAATTTTGATTCCACTAGCGTTTCGACGTCTTCGTCTTCATCAGAGCCAACCATCGGAGTCGATGGTATAAATCCTATGCACGTCTAGATGAGTTCATTCCTTGTCATTCAAGCTTCCATCTTCTATTTCTCAGCGTTGATCTTTCCGTATACTACGTACTTCACTTCTATTCATCAAATACTGGTGCCGATTTTATGTTCGAAGATGAAATCCGTCTTAGAAAGGTAATTCCGAGCTTTTATCGAGAAATATATGACGAATAGGAGCGGACAGAAATGATTTGTCATGAAGATTTCCGTAAATAGCCATCGGTAGAACGAGCAGCTGTCGAAAATTGAGGCTATTCTTGTGTCTTGCTCTCTGCTCACCAAGTAATCCTTACCCAAGTATCTTTCTGTCTCCGCGCGGTCCCGCAGCGGAAACCACTCTCCTGCGGGGTTGTTTCGAGAAGAACGACTTCATAGTGTAGTTAATAACATGATTGTGATTTGCATAATCTCGAAGGAAAAGCGTTGCTTGTGAAAAGCGTAAACAGTTATGCTGGCTATTGCCCAAGAACGTATAGGCCACTGGAAAGGTACAGGTAAGCAAATTGTACTCCTACAATAAAAAAATAAAAAAATAAAAATAAAATAAATATATAAAATAAAAAAAACCTAAAACCCTAAGATAAGCATGTAAACACAAAAAGACCTTCATATTTCAGATTGCTTTTGGATGGGTCGCTATTTTCTCATCGAAAGATTTTTTGCTCTTTTCTGCATCACTGAGAAAGTGATTCAATAGGTTCACAAAACATGCAAATTTAGGCAAACAAAGTGATCCTCAAAGCCTACTATGTAATGACAAAGTTGTTTTTTGCTTTTCAGTAAATGACAATGCACCAAAGTTCTCCAAAGGAAACTACACAGTTTCGATTCCTGAGGATATACCAGTAGGTACATCTTTCACGCAGGTGACTTTAAGTTAACATTTTCGAAATATTGTGCTACGAACAGTCCTTCAATAGCAAATGGTTTGACATTACGAGATTACATGCCGCTTTCAGTAGGCGCCCGCAAATCCGGAAGTTGCATTTGGCGATAATATTGGTGAGACTGAACAAAAACCGTAACTTTGGCCTTTGTTTCCTAGATAGCCTTGTAGAAATAACAATTTCTTTTTTTGCTATATCTCTTCCCGTCCAGGTCTCCATGGTAACATAGAGAAACTCTTCAGATGAGTCTGAAAACTTCATATGCAATGCATTTAAGGAATTTAATAAAAATGGTTGAACATTCTAATGATAAAATCGAAAATACGATTAGTATAGGTTTCGGCCATGGATCTAGATGTTGGAAATAACGGAATCGTTGACTATTTTCTCAACAATTCCGACTCTTCGTTCACATACGATCTCTTTCGTTTGGACCGAACATCCGGCACTCTACGGGTCAACTCGAAGCTTGACCGAGAACAGCACTCGATGTGAGTGTAGATTCTTCTCTCAGCATTGATTGGTTCTGCTAATGTGTTCTAAAGACATTTGCTGAGCAGCAGATGATTGACATAACAATCAAGTAAGTTACTGATAAAAATGCCGATTGTCCACTTTGGGATTTCTTGCCACTCAGAAACAAAACTATCGGCGATCTGTTTATTTCGTAAATTGGTGCGTGAATGAGAATCGGCTCTCTTGCACACATTTTATGCCAAGTTTCTTATAATTACATCCATTGATTCCACACTTTATTGCTTACCTCACAAAGCAAATCCGAACCGTTGCAGTATCGAGCTCAGGGTCTTCGCACGAGATCGTGGGAAACCTCTGCTCACATCAACGTGCCTGATCACTATTATTCTAACTGATGTCAACGACAACGCTCCCATATTCGATCAGTCCTCCTACGATCTCTACATCGCCGAAAACTCACCAATTGGAAGCACAGTCGGTAGGGATAGATGTGAAATATTTAATGATTTGGTGGCTAAATTTAAACCCTAAAGTTATAGAATCACAGTTCTAGCTAGACAAAATGCGTAAGGGAGGTTCATTGGACCGTGTAAAAGTCTTTTTAAGAGTTTTGAGTAGATCACGTTAGTTTTTCTCTTCGTCCTTTAGATTATTCCTTCAGGAACAATAATGGCATCGGACCCTGATGAAGGTGAAAACGCTCGAATTCAGTTTAAAATTTTTGGTGGGACTGATGCGAAACTGTTCGGTCTCGAAACTAATGACAATCAGCCTGAAGTGGTGTGCATTTCCTTCTTTCTTCAGTCTTTCAATGTCTAACTTTTAAAACCACTGTTTTAAAGACACCATTTGCACTGAGTGTAAGGTGGCATTTCAGGTGAAGATCCTCACCCGTTCTGAATTTGATTACGAAGCGAAAAACACCAATTTCTACTTAGAAGTGCAAGCCACAAGGTTCGTTCTCCTAGCTCGTCCCAAAATATCCGTTGACTTAATTCAAACTAAAGAGCATATTTTCCATTTCTCATTTTTTTTATGTGCTAAGGCGTTAGCGATAAACAGGAAGATCAGAGATGATTCATAATGTTGTCTACCAAATGTGAGTGAATTTCAATGGTTGTTGCTATCCAGGATCCTTCGAGGATGCTTATCGTTGAAGAGGACAAAAACAATATATCTCTCACTGAAGATCTTGTTCTCACTACTTCTAGGGGCCATTTTCTTGGTGGAATTTCTTGTTCAGAATTCAAGCAGTTCCAAAGTAGTGTGTTCTAACGCTTTTCAGTAAGCAAAACTATGTGAAAAAAGTGATTGGTTCAGCGGTCAGCTGAGTTCCACCGTTGTTGTACGAGTCCACGTCTCCGATGTGAACGATAATCGGCCGATTCTGAACGACTTCATTGTATTGATCAATCGCTTCGAATCTGAAACATCGATCACTGACATCGGAATGATGCCAGCATTGTAAGTTATATTAGGCAACAAATTTGCAAACATTTCTCAATGCTGGCTTTCATTTAACTTTATGAATTGGTTATCCATGCCTTGTTATATTGATTAGCTAATCCAAAGTTGTTACAAAACTTCATTGTGGGTGACCTTTTGGCGCTTTCATCTTCTTCTGGAACGCAGTGATTCGGGTCACGTGCTCACAGCAGCTCATTTTTATGACGTCGGACTTATTAGCCCTATCGAGTTGAATCCACTAAAAAGTCCAATAATCTATAGTCCAGAATCAACATTTTGCTGTATTGAGGCGATGCCGAAGATGCCTTATATTTGAAGAAAACCAAGGCAGCGAAACCTTAAGCCGCAATAAACTTTTGTAACAAACCTCTTTGTTTATAAATAAAGCAAAGACAGCAATCATATGGAGTTCAACTGTTATTCGTAACATTCTTTAAACAAAAATCATAAGAATTCCGACTTCAAATAACAACAAAATAATTCACTTTAGTACTTAGAGAAACCAGCAAAAAGCTAAGACTCTGCAAAGGTATCATAATAGGCATAAGCGAAATGACATTTATTCATGAAAAGTTGATATGTCCACTCGCTTTCAGTGATCCGGACCAGAACGCCACACTCGAGTACTACATGGAAGAGAATCAACTGATCACCGTTGAAAAGTTCACTGGGAAATTAGTTCTAAAAAGCCAATGGAAACGAAATATTGATACTCAGATTAAAACCTGCGTATCTGGTGGGTTTCTTCACGATGTTTTTTCGCGTCTTCTTAGGTCTACGATCTATACGGTCTATAGAACATTTTTAGGTAGTGAATTTACCTCTCCACAATCAGTTAGTGACGGTCATATGTATGGACGAAAAATTAGCTCGCTCATCCTTGATTCTTTGAAGTGATTGTGGGACCAACTGTTGTTGTCATTTGCAGATGTAGCAAAAATTTAGATGGTCCGAATACCGTATGTTCAATGTGTCGTTTCATTCACGTATATCTCACACGAGATTCGTTACATGAAGCTGCCACCATTCTCTTACCGAGAATTACTTTAGACGATTTCTGGGACCCCCCACTCTTCAACAGATTCAGGTACGAACTATACAAACTATTCTCCTCACCTCTGTAATCTTTCATTCAAAATCTTAACGCCTTTTGTTTTATCACAACAACTCCTGGAAAATAATGCTACTAAGGTTCCCGTACGAACAATTTTTGCAGGCAGTCTTTAGCAACGTTAGATACTTGGGAGGAGCAGAAAATTTTTGTCGTAGGCGCTCAATATGTGGCTGGAGGTGTTGAAGTCAATGTGGTCGTCAGCGACAGAGGACACATTGTCAAGTAAGTGCTATGATTTAACGGAAATCCTCGGAACGGGAAGCCAGTCTGGGAAGCATTTTGAATCGGAAAAATACTTCTGGTGAAGTTTTCATAAAAGGATTTTTTCATAATTCAAGTAAAATGAAACACTCCGGGTTGAGATGCGAATAAGATGTAATGGAAAGATGATATTCACTGGAACGAGAGGATAGCATTGGCACTGGCGCCTTATTACTTTTACTTATGTGTTTCAATGGATGCAATAATCTGTCTCAATCGAGAATAGTGGCGTAGTGTTCCCATGAATTTCTGGAGGCGTGGGTTGATTACGATCTGGTTGACAGCCACCATTAAATTGTCGGCAGCATTGACACTAATCGCAACTGTATGTCCTCTTCGATTCACGCTCTCGTAAGCTTTGTCAAGTGGTTTTCCACAAGCCGCTAATGAGCATATCCCCATCTGTCACCGATGAGTATCGTCGTATTAGCGAGCGCGAAAATTCGCTCGTAGACACCAATAGTGCAGGCAGAGGGAGAGGCCACGGTGATCATTCGGTCACATCGGACGATTTGCTTCCAAGATGAAAACTGTCTGCGATGTGATGAGCTGAACAGTGGGAAATAGGTCTTGTGAAAAACCAACTGAACTTACGTTTTTGTTGTCATTGACTGATCAGCAACAGTAGCAAGTAACGAAGCGGTCTCGATAATTGAGATCATTTTCTACTAGTCCTTATTTGTAGAATTTGAATAATTCTCATTGTTTTCTCTTTTCTTTCCTCTAATACGCTGCATCTGACCTGGTGTGACTTCAATCGCTTCATGCGGACGTTTATGCGTGTTTATATATATATATATATATATATATATATATATATATGTTCATATATTTGTATTTATATATGTACATGCGCATATATGTATTGTCTGTTTATTTATCTACATGAGAATGATCAGCATAGGTTTCATGTTTCTGACTCGATGCTATATGTTAGGTGTCATATAGCCTATGACATGAAAAGAAAGTGGAATTTATAGGGTCGTCGCATCTGCCATAAAGTAGTAAGGTATTGATAGCTTAAGCCCTGAAATGTCTTTTATATACTCAAAACACTGCAAGGTCAGGAAAGTTTTCAACATTAACAACTTCACAAAAATGTGCTCGAGTCACCAAACGTTGTCTTTAAAATGGCGTATTACGCTAAGTAGATCGGACCATTATCGTTCGCTTCTAAGTTTATCGCCTCTTTTTTATCTACTCACTATTGCAATACTATTAGGGGCGCGTGGCGTAGTGGTCGGAGGCGCCCTGCAGCACACAGATCCTCGCGCACATGGTCCACCAAGCCTTCCATTCCTATGGGGTCGGCAAATTGGTACCACACTTGTTTGGGAGGATAGCAGCACCGGCTCGGTACATCGGTAGGCCACCGCGAGCCATTGCAAAGTTGCGCGTTCCTCAGGTATTGATCAACGCCGAGAGCTTTATCCTTTATCCTTTTAGAGTACTATTAACGTATTAAAGTGCTTCAATGTTAGCGCCAATGCTAAACCTACAATTCTTTGTCGATGCCGTTTTGTTTTGTACTACTTAATGTGCTGGTTAAATAATATGACTAATGAGCATTTTCAAGCTTACAAAGCTTATATTTTCAAAAATATCGAAAGCAGTCATTGATGTTTTTCTCCTGCACTGCTGTGTCCACTTCGACTGTTTATATCCCATATAAAATTTTCATTACACATTGCTAATGAATACTACATACAGATCATGGAGAGTGGAGGATCTACTACGATCAGAGATTATGCGAATTGAGCGCTTATCACTAATAAAAGTTGAGGTGATTAGAGACGAAAGCTGTGCAAGAGAGCCTTGTCCGTACTACCAGAGGTGTAGACAGACGCTCAAGCATGTGAATGCCTTTGAGGTGAGCAGTAAGATAGCATTCAATTTAACTAATAAAGACTAATGAACGAATTCTAGGTCTACCAGACTGATAGCTTTGTGGCAAGGACGTTGAAAACGTTAAAGACATTTGTGTGTGAGTGTCCTCCTGGATTCGCCAGTGAGTGCTATTTGGTTTTCAAGCAGTTTTCATGTTCCATGGAGTCATTTTACACTCTCCCTTCGTACTCCCAATATCAGTAACGTTCTGGACTCAGCCAGAGAAAATAAATGAGATTTATGAGAAGTTCAGGATTAAACAGTATTGAAAATGTGAACAGAGCATAGGACGAAAGCCCTTGAAGAAAAAATCATCGTTCAATTCTCAGTTCGTTTTCACTCTCAGGTGGTGAGCGCACACCTGTGGAAAGGCATTCTCCTGTGATTGTGGTGGCGCCTTCTTGTGTTCGCTGTATCTCTTCTGCATTCAGTTTTACAAACACCTATCTTTAAATTTTGTTGGAGAGTTTCCAAAGTCGGTTAAACTAGTCTTTAACTGCTACATTTGTTTCTTCCAACAACAGTATCGCAGAATAATTCATACAGTTACGTGTCTCTTTATTATTCTTTCCGCTCGTGCAGTTTTCTATTTCCCAATCTCTCCACTTCATCTTAATAATGGTGGACGGGGACATCTCGTCGGGTAAATAGTTTAACACCAAAGACTTCAATTAATGTCGCGTGCATCATTTCGAGAACTCCGGTCACTTTATTTACCCAATCTGCTAAAGATCAACCCCAATTAAAGAGCTCGTTCGAAGGTCATTGTCATTAACAAGGGGATGAATCATTGAAAGCTGAAAACAAGTCAACTATTCAGAAACCATTTCTACCTGTTGAACGACTTTCATCACGAAATGCTGATATTTGGGGTGAAGTGTGTTAAGTAAGAGAAGCATTCCAGCTCAGAAATTATTCTTACTGTCTGGTTCTGCCTACTATTATCATGCTGCAAAGAGCGACAAATATGGAATTCAAAAGATCGACTTCGTTCATGACTTCGTTTTAATTAGATGAGATCAAAGTAGGTAAATGCTGGTTGCGGCGCCGGGCCTCGTATTGGAAAATGCTATGTGTTCTCGAATGTGCTCCTAGTTTTGGTCAATTTAATCCTCTCCCCACACGCCCTCACAATGTCAACCTAATTTTGTCCATTAGTTTATGCAATGATTGTAGGTTCTGTGGATTTGCCCGGACAGTGCGATTTACGCGTGGATCAGTGCTACAGTAATCCATGTCGCAACAATGGCACCTGTCATCCACTCGAAAATGGACACAGATGCGAGTGCCAACCCGGATGGCGAGGTAATTTGCACTCCGTTTCATAACTAAAGAAGGTGTGTAGTGTGCGGAATAGAGGTGCCTTGTATATATAGATGGTCTCTTCGACCGCGCACCTCGAACTATTCAATGGAAACTCTTGCTTAGTAGATCGATGGCTTCTCAGAGTCATTGTAATTTCGAAATATAGCTTCAACCACCTCTTCGATGCTTATTAGAGTTGAGTGCGTTATGTCCCTCTAAGGAATTGACCAATGATGGACGCTTTTCATATCTGCGTAAATGTTTAGTCAAATGAATGTAAAGGAAAGCTTGGCAAAAGCAGCAAAGATATTACTCTTTTCATGAAGAGCGCAGTAGGGGCTACTTTCCTCTCAACGATGCGAGGTTTTTAATCATAGAAAGTGTATATATGGAGATGGATAGACGAAAACCTTACATTAAAATGACACGGAGCTTAAGTCACTTATTTTAGTTTTGTGGGTTGCAATTTAATTTCCTGGATCTTTCATTAGAGCACGCCTTCGTTTATTTCTTGATTCTCTAGAGATTGCTCTTTCAAACAAAATTCCCTGTGGATCACAAGAGTTCAAGTACCGTATAGAGCAATCATTTTCAAACTTTTATCGCCAGGAGATTATGATGGCCAACTCCTTTACCTAAACGTTCAAGTTTATAGTTTCTAGTATACATCTGCATGCTTTTCACTCATCGTACTCATCCCGGTTTCATTTGGTTCCATTATAATCCATTCAGCCATTATTTTTGTTAATGAAGCCACCGAATAGTCTATAATTGTCATTCGGTTGAAGGCTTTGGCGTTGTTCCAGAATCGACCTCTTCATAATTTCAATGAATAATTTGAAGATAAGTGGATGTCGAGTGGCTCTGCGGTCGATATGAATCAGACACGGATATTTCGGCAGCCCTACAGGGAGACCTTAATTGAAGACCTTATCAAAACATTATGGTCATTATCGAACTTATAGGATTCTTAAAATTATTTTTTTTATTTTTGGTTTTTTTTGCTATTTAGAAACTTCTCGTTACCCTTTGATACCTTTGCTAAAATTTAAACACACATACATACATACATACATGCATACATACACACACACACACACACACACACACACACACACACATACACACATACACACATACACACAGACATGATTTTCAGTTGATTCTAATGCCTTCGTTTCCATCACTCATTGTTAAACATGTTGTATTATTTTAGGACGGCATCGTCCATTCTCGACTTATCTTTTCTGTACGGTTTCCAAAGATGATACAGCAATCGTTATGTGAATAGCTCTTAACTTCTAGTTGTTTTTCCTCTTTTGACATAACGTCAAAATAAGCAAAAAAGTGATAGTGGAGAGTCGATCTGTCTATGATTCTTCCTGAGTAAAGATTGTGGTGGTGGACGGACTTCGCAGCCATTAGATTTCCGGCTGGTATTGTGAATTATAAGATTAGCATTGCAGCTAAAATGAATGTTTTACGTTGCTTTTGATGCTCATAGTACTAAGAAGGAAGCGGAGAGAGATACGTTGAGACATGTTTTTCCGATTTTACTTGTCCCGACAAAGCTCATTAGTAGTTTGTCGAAGTTGTTCAATATTTGGAAGGAAGCATCCCATAACGCAAAGAAAGCCACGTGCTTTTCCAAAGCTTCCCTACTAGTCAACTTCCCATCTGGAAGCTAATTCCACAAATCCTCTTTAGGTTAATTATAGCCTATAATGACCACATCTAGTCCTAAGAAAATTAAATGAGTGCATACATTTTCGCGAATGAGGTGCATAAAATCTGTTGGTCGTGGGTGACCATGTGGGCGACAAGATGGTACGTGCAAAACATATGGCAGAATGCAGTATTAAGGCGTATTAATCGGATTTCTCGTGATTTTGACACATTAGAAATCAAGGCGGCCTTCCATTTCGTAAAATATCGATGAATTTATATCCTTCTTCCTAATTATTTCTAGGCGAAGATTGCACGATCGCACTTGCTTCTCTAACTTGCATTCCGGGATACTGCAGAGGTAACTCGATTTGCGAACTTGTCGGGCAGCTAATGAAATGCAAGCATTGTGGATATGATGCTACGGATTCCGATGAACGGTGTAGACTTCGCTCTCTCGGTTTCACCGGAAAGGGACTCGTCAACATCAACAAGGAATTAACGAGACTGGAATGGCAACTTTCATTCAGGTGCGCTTCTTTTGATTACTTGCTATAAATGGGATGAAAGCCAAAGCTGAAAATCCTTCTACTTGCTACCACCAATCTAATACTTTTTGCCAAATTCTCACTATAAGCTAAAAATTACAACCGTTTTGTACATACAACCACAACGTTGCTGAGATATTTGCAAAAAAAAAGAGAAACGTTTTGTACATAGTTACTTAAAAAAAACCAAATATATTAACTTACTAATGTGATGACTTCAGAGTAGCGACAATAGCTCGAGAAGGTGTCATTCTCTTCTCCGGTGATCAAAATTCGGACTTTATCGAGGTTTCCATTCAAGACCGAATTCTGCGAGCCGAATTCTCGCTCGGTGGGAAGCCAAAGGCGGTTCGGTTGGAAAATGAACGAAGGAATCGCATAAATGATGGCGAATGGCATACCATCAACGTGATATACTACGAAAGGGTGGGCTCCTTGCGATTTCAAAACAACAAATTTTAAAGTAGCTACGCACTGTAACCCCTTTCAGTGTTACTTAAGTCATAGAATGTAAGAGCTACCTCTCAATCCTCATGCGATACAGATTATCCCAATCATAGGCAAGTAAGCTCTTTGAAACCTCTGCAGAAGCACTTGTGACAAATAGGTAGTAGTGAGACAGGGTTCTCAGCTAGAGTACGCAAGTTAACTAGCGACAAAATGCCAAACGAAACACACCGATGGATCATTTCATAGTTTCGAAGTAGAAAATGACCGCCTCCATTTAAAACTTAGCGCAGGGGAACGATATTTCATCTGCTGTTAGAATTTTGCTTCAAAAATGGTTTCAATGGTTTCACTTTCAACTACATTGATGTAAAAGGGCGCAGCGTGGTTTTTTGACCAATTAGTGAATAAGCCAAATTCCATACTCTTTGAAAGTGCCAATACTATGAAGGTGAAGGAGCTATAAACACTAGTGTCTAGCTTTGATGGTATTGTACAGTCTGAAGGAGACTTCACGCTCAATATCACCGGCAGGTCAAGGATCGATTAAACCAAATTCGACATTTTTTGGGAGTTAGTGCATAACCACTAACTGCGCAAATTTTCTTATGGATCTGTTTTGCTATGGGGAGAATTCCAAATCCATAACATGTCTAGTGAATGTGGAACCAATTGGCTAAAGGCGTCATGTTGTTAGGACAACTATGAAATGTTGTAGTAATTTCAAATCGGAAACTTTAGATAAATATTACATGTTTTGTAAGAAAAGTGAAATAATAAAGGAAGTGGAAGCCTACAGTGTTGGTAATGCCTTTCATTATGGCCACGGTATGGTTTGATTCCGCGCCATTTCGGGACCACTAAGCCGTCTTTCCCTCCGGTGTAGGCGAATTAGTAGCAGGCCTGTTGGACCTAACTCACTCCCTCTAATCCACAATTGAACGCCTTAGCGCCACTATCCCAGGATTTCATGGAGAATCGTGTCGATCAACATTGGACAACATTCGTAAAGAAAACGAAATTTCTTAAGCAGCAGCCGAACTTATACGCATGATCTAAATACTTTTGTGGACAATGGATGCGGGGAAACGAATCCAATACAGGAAATGCTGGTGATCCATGCAGCAGATGTCAAGACGGGTCATGTAAAGAATTGGAACTTGTATCTGAGGACAATTCTCTTATCTACTTTGCAATAGCAATGGTGTAGAGAATCGAAGTGCATGGGAATTCACATCGATGGCCCGATGAACAATGTGCACGTCTTTCAAATTTAAATGCGGCATAAAACGTCCGTGCAGAACAACCATCTTATTACTGCATATGTAAAAGGAGTTCTAATGATGAATAGCTCATGGTGTGGCGATAGCTACTCGTTTGCAAAGGTGGTTTACTCTACTAGTGTCTCATTTTTAGCAACTGACCCTTCTTCTGGACGACTGCGATGCGTTCGTCGCACTTTACGCGCATGGTGCGGCTCCATGTGCTGCCCAAGTGAGAATTGACCTGGCCGCCAAGTGAGGATCGCTATCATTGTGTTTGAGTGTCCTTAAAATTATCATAATACATAGAAATTTGCGCCAGTACGTCATAGGGATCCAGACATGTTTTTTGAAGTCGTGTTTTGTTTGCAGATGTGTAGACCTATCTGTGCCATGTTTCCGATTTCTTGACGTATACAATGGGATTTACATAGGAGGGCGTCCGTCAACTTCTGGAAAAGTGCAGCACGGTTTTAATGGTACATATAGAATGATTCTAGAAATATGCCAGCTTTTTCCAAGATTTCTCATTCCTCAGTAACGTGTATTACATAAACAAAGAACGTTTCATTGAAAAACCTTGTGTACGATACTCTGAGAGCTAATTTTCTTGCTAGCTCGCTAAAATTGTCTTTGAAGAGAAGAGCTTTATTATCTATAGTAGTTCCTAAGACCTTTCCTTTTAACATTCTGAAGTAGGAGCGACCATCCTCACACAGGAATCTAAAGCTTCAGCGCATAAAGCCATCGAAGCACTCTGGACGAGTTCGAAAAATCCAAAAAAATGAACTGCAAGGAGAAATGCTTCATTATTACTTGGGATCTAACACAAAATCCCAGATTGATACTAGGTATCGTGGCTTTTCTGTCGAAGCTACGGAGGTGCTAGACTGACTAGATTGCATCGATTGCACTTAGATTGACCTTTATAGGCTCAGGAAAACGCTAATTCCGCCGAAACGTTACTTCTTATAGATAAATAAATAGCATATAATAACACCAAGTGTGTATTTATGAAGAAAATCGCGAATTACCTATTTTACCATGTCATCAATTTCACAGTGAATTCGGTAGACAAATATGTAATAACTATATGTTTAGGCTGCATCTCAAATATAACGCTCAATAATGAGCTCATAGAGTTTTCTTCATTACCTGATATGGATGTTTGGGGCACAGTAAACGAAGGATGTAGCTCTAGAAAGGACTTTTGTGCTAAATCGAACCCCTGTTCATCTACGGCAAAGTGCGTGAATAGGTGGAATGGGACGAACTGTCGCTGTTCCTACTCCGTCCATCAGAAAAGAACTTGCAGTCCAGGTAAATTAAGTTGTATAGTGAGAAAGTTAGCTTCTATCTATAAATCATTTATACTACTAGACCGTGCTGCATTAGATAACAATGTGACGGTACTAACGATTTCTAGTTGATATCCAACAGGGGATTGAAAGAGGTATTATCTCCATAGATGGAGGACAAAAACCCAAATCGAGGAAAATTCTAAAAAATGGCAAATTATACTCATTAAGAGCTATACCTAAGGTGACTATTGTGTTTGGGATCGCAACAGTATTGTGAAGAAGCTTATGAGCAAAAGTCACGTAAAACTTTTTCTTTTTCTTTTCGATCATGTGTAGAGAATATGATAAATAGACGAGAAAGAAGGCATTGTCTCCTTGTAAAAGTGGCCAGCTGCTCAGAAGATCACGGCCGACATACCGGTGGAAGTTTTTTCTTAACATCATGAATCAGCTGTGTCAACTTGTATTGAAGTACATTTGACTCGTTAAGACGAGTCCTTCAAGTTTTAGGCTATTCGGGATCGAACGGGTTATATATGGCTGTAGTTATGTGGTAAGCGAGTACTTTTCTATTATGCACAAGAGATGTTAGGAAGTCAACAAACAATTTTTTTTACAATGTACGACTTTTAGGTTAATGTCAATTATTTACTTTTTATGGTAGGGAATTATGTGAAATACAACCACAACGATCCTGATATATTTGCAGAACTCAGAGTCCAGTCCAGATTCGAACTTGCAACTAACCAGTCCAGGGTTCACGTATTACCCACTGCACCAGTGAAGCCCTCGTTTTTCGTGCCACTCAGTCAGTTTTTCTATGCCCTAACGGTGCCATCAACCACCACCTCTCGACCGGAATTATATGCGAAGCGCAAATCTGCAAAAAAGAGTAGTAAGAGAAAGGGAAGACGAGGACCTCAGTGGAGTAGTAGGTAACACTGGATCTCCGTAAAAAGTAGTCGCGGGTTCGAGTCCTGACTGGCCTGTGAGTTTTGCAAATATCTCGGATGGTTTACGTGTCGTTGCGATTTTTTTAAATTTTATTTCACATGATCCATCTACTATACGAGTCTCACATCTACTGGGGGTTTTTTATTTTGTCTCACACGCCACATCTGCTGTACAAATCCTAAAAAAGTAGTAAGCGCTTCTCATATTCGACTCGTTTCCTCATGTCCATTATCCGCAAATGCCTTCCAATTTTTTTTGTGTGTTCAGTTGCTCCTTGAGCATTTCCCGTTTGCCATGAATGTCGTTGAATGCAGGTCAATTCGATTCCCCTTAGAGTCTTGACATAGCTAAGCGACATTGTTCACAACTGGATTGTATAGAATTGACTTTTCCCTGACAAGCCTCGTTCCAATTTACCGAGCAAACAGAACTGAGAGGCTTAGGGAGACGGAGCGAGTTCGAACCAGCGTCATGCTCTTAATGATCAACACCAAAACCACTGCGCTACTTTTCCTTATAACAAATAATCGGGCTTAAAAGGCATAAATCTTTCACAAATACATCGTTAAGTCAAATTGCGGAGAAGAAAGCGCATGTAGAAAAACAGACCCAAGTAAGCCTCTCATCCCTCCGAGGTCGGTAAGTTGGTACCGGTCTTGTGCGGGAAAAAATCATTTTCTGCAATCCAATTAGAGACTCTTTAGCCAGACTATCCTAAGACTTTTTTTTAATATATTATATATTAAATATAAATATATTTATCAACCTCGTGTAAGCTTATCAAGAAAGAATACATATTGATTAATCACACCGAGGTTTAGGGAAGGTCGGTTTCGAAATATTACTACGCTTTGTGCTAGCTGATAATACACCGACCTCTGCACGATGTGCGCAGTGATGTATGTCCGGAAGAAATACAAGTTGTTACCACCGGACATTGTCATTACATATCCACCATCAGCATCGTGTATAAAAGGGCATCACTGAGTGAGGATGCCTCATTCGAGAAGATGGCTCGCTGAGGAAGATCTGGCTCGACAGGAAGGCGAAGACGCAACGTCGAGGCGAACAACAAGCATGGACCATCGACTCGGATCGCCGGCTCTGAGGAAGACGAAGACGTCGAAACGTTAGCCGAAAATAAATATATTTATCAACCTCGTGTAAGCTTATCAAGAAAGAATACATATCCTAAGACTCCTTGGATAATCGACGTGACTAGCATTTTACAACACTCTAGATGAAATGAAAATCCTTAGACAGTAGCTGAAGCTACACGTGAAAGTTGGAAGACCTTCGTCGATAATGGATACGAGGAAGCGGTTCGAACATACGAAGTGTTGAAATCCACACAGTAGACGTGAAGACGGATCATATAAAGTATAAATAAATAAAAAAAAAACTCATGTGTCGTGTGCATTCTTCTAGAGGAGAACGAGTTGTGTGAGTCGCATATGACCCACAGCAAGCGGAAAGGAAGATGGGCCTATACAGATGCTTTCGGCGTACAATATTAGACATAGTTGTGAATAGGTTAACGATTTGAATTATGAACAAGAAAGAAGTTGAAGCCTTGGAAATAGGCACTGGTCAATTCAACAAATTGAAACAATTGCAGAAATGTTGTTTGAAAACCGTCGTGTGATGCTCCACGTGAAATTTTTTGTGGTGGTAATGAGTAGAGATAATGTAACATTGCCTACTTCAGACTTATCACTTGCTCACTATCAATCTCTAACACTCACGGATGAGGAGTCGTTCGTTATCTATCGTCCCGAAGAAGTAATCGTTCCATTCACGCTCTCCTTCGAATTTCGCAGTTCTAGGAACGATTTGCAAGTCGTTGTGGCTGAATTCAAACGTCGAAGCACGTTCTTGAAGATTGAGGTTTCTACTGTTCTGTTCTAGTTTCATTATCTTCACCCACTCGAAAGTGTAGACTCTTGATGTTTGTAATTGGTTTTGATATCGACCGTTCTTTCCAAGGAAATTTTTGTGAAAATGTGGGGCATTCAAAGCTTTTTAGCATATTTCTAATACATAGCGCGCAACGCTAATTTCCCGACAAATGAGGGTAATTTCCTCAACCACTAGAAGAGTTCTCATATTTATAGAAGAGACTTGTCCCAACTTTTTAAATGCATGTATAAATTTTATAATTTTTTTTAAATTTAGATTTCTTTTAAAACCAAAGCTTTAAAATCATTAGGAGAGAAATCTTGGTTTTCAAAATTCTCAGAAGGACTTGCAGCGCAAACCCACAACCTACTAACGCCAACGGTGCTTTGTGAAACGTCGTCGTATTTTGCTACATGGAATCCCGCGTCTTCATCTGCTTTCGCATCCGAAATCTGCCTTGGCGAGGAAGCGTTATAGAGAATTCCTCTACCAGATACAGAATCCTCTATCAACGTGAAATGAAAACACATTCCGTGAGCAGCCACAAAATCAGAATTTCGATCAATCAAAACTGAGATATGTCGACTTCAACTACAGAATAACCCGCTGTTTTGGCACCAAATGCATTGGAGTCAATACGTAATGCTCATATTACGTTAAATAGAACACTCCGAACGTTTTTGTAAAGGTTGGCTATCCTCGCTTAGAACCTGGATATTATTGGCTTGTTGTTGTCGAGCCGAACTGCTAGCCGAACATAGGATCGACTGAATATCTGAACTAATATAGCTTTCTTTCTTTGTTGGTATTTTCGCTGTTTCTGTCAGCTTCTACTCTCAAATATCATGCAAGGAAGGCGATTTAAAAAATGACTCACCCGTAGCGGTTCCTTTAATGTTCATTAGGAGTGTAGCACCAAGAAGATCCTTCCTTTCGAGGGATAACTGCTTCTCTTTTTCATGATTGCAAAATGTCTTCTTCATCTTACCGCTGACATCAATAACTTAAGTAGAAGGTGATTTAAGTCAGTCTAGGCATTTTTAGTTTGGAGTATTAGAAGCTCTTGGTTTCGTTTCTTGATGAAGGGATCTCCGTCAGATTCGCCATTTAAAACTTTGAAGGTAACTCTCGTCTTTACCGTGATCTCATATTAAGATCTTGTTACTTTTTAATTCACGTATATCGTTTGCGACATCCTTGCGTTACATTGTCCAAGAAGAGTTTACAGAAAGACTTTCGATTGATGGTTTCCTAATGTTTCGGTAGGTCACCGAATTCAGAATTATCTCTGAACGTTGGGGCTTTTTCTAGCTTTGCTGATGCCGCTTGATAAACTATAGCTGTTTATCAAAATTTAATTGCAAAGAGCACTTTCATCTCATTGTTAGGTGATAAACTTGGCAGAAAACTGATACTGTTCGTATCTTCATGGTCACTATGTCGTTCAAGTTGAATGGCGTCTTTGGGAAATTGAGCGTCGCTACGTAGGTTGTCTGTTTCAGTTCACAGCGAATTTAATGCTTTTCAAAACGCTGATTAAATCGTCTTTTTAACAGTCCGTGATATCACGGACAAAGATAGTGATATGGCGTCAAGCAGATAATTACACAATTCCAGCTTAACCACCATCCTTCTACTTCATGACGTTGGTTACCAATGTTGAAAATTCTGAGTTGTTTTACTACCCAACTAAACTATAACCTTGCTTTTATTGTTTTGTATACAATATTCACAAAAGCATATTCAGTGTTAGCCCCGTGGTTTCTAGATAGATGATGGTCTACCACGAGTGTCGTTGGGTCAATTTTCTACACTTATCGACGCTCCTGAATTGCGTCCAGGACGCTGGACAAGAGTAGAAGTGGAATTCCTGGAGAGCGTAATGAAAATAACTATCGACGGAATTTACTCGACGGTTTGTTAGTATTACTAATAGATTTAGATTTTTTTTACTGCGTTTCTTTATACTTAGTGAATTTCCTTCTCAACGACTCGTTCTGACACCAGTACATTTTCAATGTAAATCATACGTTGCTGATTTGGCAAGATTTTTTTAGTACAGACGTGACCAGCCCTACCAACGCATTCTCGTGTCGGTATCGTAGTTGTCATCAATGTTTCGAAGGAAACTTTGCCAACTTCCAATTATGCTTGCTCAAAGTTTATTGCGACTTCTAGTATTGGTTTATTCTTAAATGATATTCATAGGGAAAACAACAGACTAACCTTTTCCGACCCTCGTCGGGGTTGTGTTCCCACTACAGAGGTTGAATTCCCTTTACAAAGAGCGCTACTACAACGAAGAACGCCACTCACATTGTGGATTTAAACAATAAGCGGGAGTTTTAAACTAAACCCACCACACAGAACCAAAATAGCCTCAAGATTTCTTCTTTAATAGAATGCTACGCTAGCAGATATGTACTTATTCTTATATTACTATTTCGTAAGATTAAATAGTCTTAAACATCTCCTTATCGTGAAGTTAAATGAACGATGAATTCCTATCATTTGAGCTCCCCAACGTTTAGAGTGCTCATAAATTTACCAGAATTCATATTATGGCTCAGAATGTATTTCCCCATTTTATGACGTAAAACTGAAGCATCTTTTTTCAGTTGGTATAGTTTTTATAGATATTTTATACATCACTTTGAAGAGTGAACATGAATATGAATTGAACAAAAGGTATGAAGATTGCTGTCATGGAATCTTTTTTTAATATACCAGAATTAGGGGCGGACGGGATAAAGCAGTGGTAGCGATACCGACCATCACGAGCACGGAGTGGTTCGACACCAAACCGTGCCCATTAAAACACCTATGCCTCAAAGTTCGAGAAATTAGTACTAAAATCATTTGGTCCCATCCCACCCATCTAATCCATGTAACAACGCTTCAGCTCGGCTATCTCAAGATTTCAAGGTGAGTCGACCAGCATTCTACCACATTCGTAAGGAAAACGAAAATCTTCAAACAGCAGCTGAAGCAACATGCGATATGTTCGAAGAGCTCATTGCACTATGGATGCGAGGAAGCGAATCGAAGGCGAGAAGGGCTGGGATCCGCAAAACAGTCGTAATGACGGGTCATGTGAAATAAGTAAAAGTGGAAATGAATCCATTTCTTGGTCATAATAACATAAGAAGGGAAATTGTTGCTTCTGACATTGAAGTGACTGTAGAACTTCCAAGCACCGAAGTATTTCTGGAAATCAGTTTTGCATGAAAAAGATAAAGGATAACGCTCTCGGTTCTTTGATGACAACGATGACATTGATGATTGATGACAACAGTTCTTACCTTGTTTTATGGGGCTTTCAATTCAAAAAGGAGAATGTTCTAAATAGCTGAAAGATAATATTTTTTTATAGGAGCCGTTATGACATCTACTAGACGGATCCCAGCACTTCTTGCATTTGATTCGTTTCCTCACATTCCTTATACACAAGGGTTTTCAAAGACTTCGCGTCTTGTTTCAGCTGCTGCTTGAAGATATCTTCTGTATGAATGTGTCAGAATGCTAGTCAGGCCAACTGTCCTTGCAATCTTGGAGAAGGCCGGTCGTTCCCACGTGAATCGGAGTAGAGCGTTGGAACGGGGATCGAACTATCGTCCTTGCTTTCTGATCGACGGCATCACTAACCACTGCGCTATCCCTGCCTCGATATATTAGATGTCTGTCTAGAATTTTATATTCCTGATCAATACCTTTGGCGAACATTTTAAAATTCTATAAGGTTTGCAGAACATCGAACATCCAATGCTGGGGATGACCTTAGATCTTGTGTATGCCGGATTGGCGCCTTCTACGAGCCATCCATCTCGCTACGACGGATGTTTGAGGTTATTTGAACTCAATGGCGTAGCACTACGCGTGAATGAGAAAGGAAAGGTAGGTGCTTAGCACACTAACCCTACATTTTCAAGCTTCGTAGTTTGTCCGACTTTAGTGACACTCTTTGTACTTTCTGCGTTTTTACTTCCCGATGTTGAGATCTGTGAGAATCTCCTGCGGGAATTTATAGAAGAAATATGTCACATTTTTGGGACACGCTACCGATTTTTGGTTGTCGTCATTTTTTAACTCGTTTTTCATCGTTGTTTGATTCGGCGCTGGTTAACGAGTCGAGGATGCTCACTCAACTCCATTAAGGATGGTAGAGGTGGTAGAATTGAAATTTAGCCTTTAAAATGAGTCACGATAGCAATTCTTCGTATTTTTGCTGAGCAAACGCGAGGTGTTATTATTCTTTATTCACAAATGAGCTGACGTTTCGGCGGATTTCGCCTTCCTCAGAGCCTGGAAAGGTCAAGTTGACAGCAATCTACTTGGCCAGACGCCTCCATAACCAAACAAAGAAACTCTAAACCAAGATTTCAATCACATTGAACACAGCTTTGCACACTCACCGCTTTCTATGAGGTCTCCACTAAGTATGTCACGTAGAGACCAACCGCACAGAAATCACATGGAAGTATAATGTACCCCAATATAAGTATAGTATAATGTGGATGTTTGCGAATGAAACTCTCAAAGTCCTTAATCACTATCGCGCGAAAAGATACAGCTCAAACCTCACTCTAGTGCAAAAACGTGGTATGCGAGAGGTACGAGAGCTGATAAGGTTGAAAACCATAAGACTATCCGTTAGTGATAAGGGTGGAGAGTTTGTCGTAATTCCTCATCAGTTGGATGTGGAGATAACGAAAAAGCATCTTGAAGATGCTTCGCTTTATCGACCATCGTCTGAGGAGGAATTTAAAAGAAAATACCGAAAACTGAACCACGAATGGGCCAAAATGGCAAGGGCTGCTAGTTTAAAACCATCAGTTATCTCTCAACTAAAAGTTGACTTACCAACATG